TAAACAACAATAAAAGATTAGGAGCTATCAAATTTGGAACAAAACAACTGTCAAGGATCTATTAGCACCGAATACTTCAATGTGACTGCACAATTACCTCTTTTATCAATTAAAACCAATCACAATCTTTTTGAAAAAGAAAAATGTAGCACAGGTATTAGCATATTAATAGAACTGCTAATATTTTCTGGAGACCACATGCTGCATTCAAAAAGGTGAATAAAAAGACTATGATGATAAAGAGAATCAACAGCCTGTTCAAAAGGGAACTCAGGGAGATCAAGACAACCCAGCAAAGACATGGAGAGAACTTTATTAATGCATCTCTACACACACCTTTGACAGCTAACATTGTTTGTAGAAAAAGAACTGCTAAAACTCGAGGACAAAACTTGAGTCAAAAGCATAGTTTCTTTAGGTTGGCCATGAATTGTAGAATCCTATTGGTTGTAAGAGACTTCAGGGAGGTGATGTAGTTCAATTTCCTGCTCCAAGCATGTCCAGTTAAAGAAGGTTGTTCAGGATCTCATACAGCTGAGTTCTTAATGTCTTCACAGAAGACAATTCTGTAGTATGTCTGAGTAAACTCATCCTATATTTTACAACATTCCTCGTGGAAGTGTGTATCAAAAATGCCTAATAAAGTTATCAAAAATACACCTTATATAAAAATTAATGATTTGATATTTCAATCCAATACCTGCACTGCATACTCTCATAGAATATAATTAAAATTGCAGAAGACTTTAACGGAAGCTGCTGAACTGTCTTTCTTAAGCAATCACACTTAACTAGAAACTCTGGCACCTATTTATTTGATACCAACATACTGAATTTAACAATCAACCTGTGTCAATACTTACCCCGAGTTGCTGCACTGACTGAAGATTTTAATTAATACTTCCTGAAACAACATTTTTTTATAAGAGATATCTAACTTACTGTGATAGCAGTAAATTCTGAAAATTCCTTGAATTGCTTGTTAAAAAAAAGTTAAGCTGTTTAGGTGCCTTGGATGGACAGAATGTACTTTCCTGACTATACTGTTTGATAGGTGACTATCCAACATCCAACAGTTTTCACCACAGCTTTTATTTCCTAGAACTTAAATTTATAAGTGGCGCTTCCTATTTACCCTAAATACACATTTTGAAAGACAGCCTTTTGACTAGCATATAAAAAGTGTTCTATTAAGATAAACTTTTCTTTATATTGATGTTTTTAGTTTAGTTCCTTACATCTCTTTACAGGTAAAGCCCTCTAGTTCTCTGACTAGAATACATTTTCTACACTTTAAGGGAATAAATGTGAATGTAGTAAGATGACTGGATGCTGGAGAAAGTACACATTAGATCTACCAGAAAACCAAACCATTTACTAGAGGGCAGCTCCTGAACATTTCACAGAAAGTAAAGTTGAGACGGGCAAGCATAGCAGAGCTTGACAAAACAGACATATTTTGCCCCTATTCCTTTCACTGAAAAGAGCTCCAAAGAAGGCAACAGTACCTCACAGAGGCACCTAAACTGGTAAAAGGATTGCCTGAAATACCAGAAAGGTGATATGCTTTGATCTGTGCTCTTTTTAAGATTCTTCCAGTGGTAAAAATAACTTTCTGTTTTGAAAGAGATGTAAATTTCCCACAGAAGCTTTAAATCAGACACCCTGACTTAAAAACAACAAAAATACAGTGCTTGAAACAGCAGCTCAATGGGTAATACTAAAAGATTCCTAGGATCCTTCTGGGACCTTGCTTCTTGCAGGACATTATCAACATGGTCTCTCCACCTGCTCAAGGCACTGCACTACTTCCTTCAAAAATCTTGAGATGACAAAGGCTAAGAATATCTGGTCTAAAGTTCATGAGTGTCCAAAACACAGCCCCTCTACATAAATGGCTCTAATATTCTGGTTTACAGTTAAGTAGTAAGTATATGGGCATAAAAATTTGCACATCAAACATCTTAGGAATTCAGCATTTTAGTAAAGGATGAGAACAGCATTTATTAAATATGAAGGCTTCTGCTGGGAATTCAATATCGACAAAGGTTAAAATACTTGAAACCCAACATCTGAACAACAGTAACTATCTAAGCCCATTTCCAAACGTGGTAAAGTGAATGGAAAGTAAAACTGATTGTCTCTTCTGCTGCCATTTGCACGCACTGACAAGGAAGATGTATTCAATCTCCCTCTAGTCCATGACAAACGTTAACTGAAGTGCAAGTGGTTTTTTTCAGGCAGAGATTTCCAGTTAACGGGTTTTCCAGTGCTTGTACGCTTTCAATATGTCATCCTCATCCTCCAAAAATATCCTGAAATGAAAGTCCAAACTTACAGGCAGTTGAAGTAGCAAGATAAAAGGTTTTAGTCTGTCTTTCAAGACTCTTCAATCTCAGATCACTTCCTGAATTTCTATGAGCCATCTTACACTTGCATTTCCCTCAGAAATATCAGGTCAGGCTTTTGCTGAAAATGCATGACCTGGGTTAAAAGTTTCAGGAGCCAGTTCAAATTATTTCAAACTTCTGATTTTCAGACTACCTGCTTTTTGAGTCTTCCCATCTCTTACTGAACTGTGATGGCAAAGTTTTTACATCATCCCTCCACCCCCCATATATTATCCTGAATTTGTTATATCTAATGCCCACAGGACTTTAAAATTACATAAGTTCTCACTTCCCCTTCCCCCACCTGCCTTATAGTCACCGTTACAACTTAATGGTGAACAAACAACAATGAAGGGACCATAAGTTAAAATCAAATATTTTATTGTCAAATAGCATTTAAGGCTGACATAATAAAGGGTTTTTCATATAACCAAAATGTACATTTCTATCCAGAATCGTCTCTCTTGTAGTTCTGAATCCTAAGAAGGCAACATGGTCTCCATTTTCTGGGGAGCCCTCTTGACTTGCTTCATTCTCCACACAGCACTCATTTAAAAATCACTTCAAATCCAGGAAATCACATACTTTACTTAAAAATTTGAGGAAAAGGAACTTCCCAAATGTCCACTTTAATCTTTACTTTTGTTTCTCTGTGATGTCTCAGTCTTCCAACTCTTGAATACCAAGATGAAGTTTGCAAACAATTCCAAAGCACTGAACTTTAAACTTAAGATTTATTTTGGGTTTATAAAGAAAGTAATTTCTTTATCATTACTAATCAGTAACTTGACAAAATCAAGTTAAATATAAATCTTTCAACAAATAACAAGTGTTGTAGAAAAACTTAACTTTGCTCATTTCGAGGCAGATACTGTAAAACCTGCCACAGAAACAGTGATCTTGAAGTCTACTTATGTATCTTATACAATTTTAGGTTAAACCCAAATATCGAATATTCAGAGCACTTCAAATATGTTGAACTATAGAGACAGGCAACAGCACAGCCCAAATGCCAAACTATCTATTTTAAACACAGTTTTAAAAGCACTTCATGAAGTTGCATGAATTCCAACTGGTATCACATAACTCATTTCAAAAGATGCTTACTGAAAAGTACTTTCTTCAAATATATTTACAGGAAACAATATTATTCTTAGGGCTGTGGAAAATTGCTAGCATACTGAAGCTGAAGTCATAAGTTACAGTGATGTCACCATGATTTTTGTCACTGACTTCACCGATGCAAAGATTTCTTTTATCTACTTACTTTTCTATTAGATAAAAGGCGTAAACTCCAGCTCAGATTTAAAAAATAGCTATTTGAAAAGTATTTCACAAGGCACACGTGCAATATGAAGCTAAGTTATCACATATATCAAAACTCCAGCCTTTATTACTATTCCATATGAAAGTCAATGATACATTGCAGCAAAAGCAAAACAAAACAGAGAGAACAGCACCACTGTTAGCCTTTGCTGAATTCCTTCTTAAGGCCATGTAGCTGAGCTCCAGGGGAAAATCACTTTCATGGGAAAACATATAGTATCATATTTTTAACCAAGTTACTAAAACTCATTTTAAAAAAAAGATTTGGTACTTGTGAATTGCTTCATAACTACAGGTATGGCTCCAATAGCCATGATTTAGAGATGTGTAATAAACATATCTATAAAAATGTTTTAACATTCACATAGTTAAGAGGCAAGTGACAAGAAGTATGACTTCTCAATATGAACCAATTCAGTAATAATTATTAATTTTAGCTCGAGAAACTGAGATTACCTCCATTTTCTTATTACAAGCAGTGGCAACTTGACTGCTCAAGTGAGTCTCATCAAAGCTCTGATTTTTATGCTAATGCCATAATCTGATAAAAATTTCACTAAACAGAGCTGAAAATAATGCTAGGAAAACCTTTTAGGTTTTAAGTTTCGAATCAGAGGTGCAGTTGTGATGGTTTTGGCTATACTCATGTGGAAGTGTGAATAGTTAGCAGGCTTCAGCTTTATTCTATTTATTGTCAACTAAACCACTTTGATTTTCTGTAACGTTAGGTCTACCTATAGTAAACCATGTGTGCTCCAGTACACATGCATCTGACTCAGTTCACTAGACATGTGTGCCAGCTCCTGTCTAGAACTTACCTTTGCAGCATAACTATATACATTCTTCCTAGAGATCTTATTAGCTTTAAGTCAGTGCTATATTAACATAGCTCTGAGTTTCAAAACCAGGAATAGCCTTTTTTTGGCCACACTGAGTCAGCACGTGTCTGCAAGTACTGGTACAGATACAGTCCTCACATGGAAGGGATTGAAGAAATACATTCCTGGAAGTAATTTATTTCTTCAGCTGAACTCAGCAGTACACCTTGTAGAATCCAACTATAACCTGCTGAAGAAATTAAGGGCAATATAGGACATATTGGTTTTTTTTTAATTTCTGTTCAAAAAGTATTAGAGAAAAAAAGTAAAACAAATTTAAATCACTACATAGAAATTAAAAGCCTGAACACTCTTGAAGGTACCTGTTTTACCTGAAACACTTCAAATGTTTAGTAACATTTAAGACTGCATTTTTAAAAATGTGAAATAAACTCCTACAAAAATATACAATAATAGTGTGCATTTTAATTTTCAAAACATTTCGGAGCACAGATACGGTTTGTGAGTTTTCTACTTGTTCTTCCATGTTTTGTGAGCTGTTCAATTGAAATGTAGCCATGGAATGCTTCATAGTTAAGGCTCAGGGTCATATGGTAACTAAGTGAATCTAAGCATGAGTAAATGCCTTCCATTTTTTTGGCAATAAATCTCGCACTACAACATAGTGAGCCCCTTTTTTGTGTCAGCCTCTCATGCTGTACAGGGGACTCACCTCTAGTATTACATGTAGCAGCCACAAGGAACAAGAAACAGAGTGCATCAGTGTCAGAGCTCCTAAAGCTATTAATACAAAAAACTTTCTCCTCAGGAGAACAGATATTACTCAAATTCAGAGCTGTACCACCTCTTCTGATCAGACCTACTATCTCCTCTCCCAGAGAGCTACTCACCTATCTTAAATCAAGATTTGGAAACAATTCACCATCATGAGACCACTCCAGTGTTTAAACTGTCATCCCATTCTGTTAATGGCACTTCCCATAATTAGGCAGATGGTCTTCTAAATTTTACAAGTATTATTCCAAATCCATAACATACTTAAACCAAACTTCACACACTCATCTTAAGCTTGCACAGGACAAAAAAAAAATATAAACTGCAATAAAACCATGCACAGAGCACCAAAATAATATATAAAGACTGATTTTGTTCAAGGTCTTGGATAAAGAAGTAGTAGTAGGAGTAATCTCATGTTGTGGGGTTGGTTTTGTTGTTGTTTGGTTTGTATTTTTTCCTTTGTTTTTGCTTGTTTTTCTTTTTAAATACGTCAAATTTGAGATAAATTAGAGTAAGTTTTAATTCCCCACCTTCCCCAAATACTGGTTCTTCAGATTCCAAAGTCTGTGCTCTTAATAGGCATTTATGTATATATTTATACTTAAATTTTATATTTCTTTCCATGTAGAAGAGTAACTCAAATTCACCACAATAACACAAAAGTGAATTAATAAAACATGAAAATACTTTAAGAAAATCCCAACCAGTGTTTTTATCACAATTATTTCTAGTCCATTTTCTGTGAGATATGTCAAAATAAGTATTTGAGATTTATTGTCGTTCTTAATATTCCAAAAATATATTTGCTTACCACCAGTTCTCTTACTTCAAAATCATGAATGAAATTACATTATTCTGACAGCACATTAGATACAAAATTGCACCAAACCCAGATTTAAAAAGCCATACTACTATTAGGTATTATGCAGTTACATAAACTGTTGAAATGCTTAACATTTTAAATTAGCATAACATTCTAACTTCAGATGTTAAATTATGGATATGTTGAACAACTGATCATTTGACAGATATTCAAAAAGCACCTCACACAATAACTAAGTATTTTCACCTCTAAGCTTCTGTATCATAACCTATGCAATTCTGATTCATCTGAATGATTCTACATCGATCACTTCAGTCCTGGACATCAAAGTAGTCAATTACTGGCTCTTCCTTCAACGGTTTGGATAAACCACTGTTTCCACTGCTCCTGAAATTATAAGAATATTAGATATTACATGCATGAAAAACAAGATACAAAGTAAATTGAATCACAAACTCCTGTAATATCTCAATGTGCACATACACACTGAATCAGTCAAAAGCATGCACTTCTAAATTAAGTTTTATATGAAGTATCTTAATACTCCAGAAAGCCTTTGTTAATTGAATTTTGACAAAAACACATACTAGATCAAATTAATTTACATCCACATGTGTCTGAATTGATAAAATTCCTTTTGGGGTTTTACCAGAAAATGTAATTTACCAGTAATATTTATTACAAAAATTACACTGTACTGAAGATTAAATGTTAAAAATGCCTTTTTGAAAGAATCAGCAAAAGAAACACTGTTAAAGTGAGCTGATGATCAAATCCACTTGCTTTCAAAAGCAAGAGTAAAAAAAAATGTGGTCATAGCAAATCCAAACACTAAAGATTTTTTTCAGTAAGACAGCATGAGATCTTCCATAAGATTTTGTAGAAAAAATTTCTAAAATATCTTTAAAGTTTCTAAATAAACTTTACTTCTAATAATGAAAAAATAAATGGCTAAAGCCCTTTATTTTATTTTGCTACTTAACTCCTTGGCATTAATTAGGGTCACTGAGGACAGCAATGCCACAGAAGTGGAAACGAAGAGTAACAACCTATTAGAAACCGACATTGATTTACACCTTAAGAAATCCTTTTAGAAATGTGTTTTACTCTAGATGCTTAGCTCTGAAACAATTTAAATTTTCTCAGAACAGCCTACTTTGTATTCCAGCAGTACCTACCAACAGTAGTTACTGCAACATTAAGCAGTCCCTTTCTGCAAAAGGTACTTGAACCTGATTTCAGATGCTTATCTGGGAAAAATCTGGGAGGAAAACACTTCTGAAAGGTAAACCCAACCAAACAATACACCATCCATTAAAAAAAAAATCGTAACTATAAGATAACTACAAGCATCTGAAGGTCATACAATGTAAAGATGTCCTTTTAAGACCATTCATCAAGATGTCTTATATATCCCATCTTCAGTAATTCCCACTGACAAAAATTGTAGTTCACCTTTAATCAACTGTGTAGCTGTATCTACACAAGAAAAATACATTTAGTACCTGTCCAAATAATTTTATGCCAGTAAGACATTACTCTTGGTTAAAGGTAAAAAAAAAAAACAACCCCAAACCCTCCAAAATAGCACTCTCTTCCCAACTATCTAATATTTATTAAAAAAAAATTAAACTCCATAATATTTGTTATACTACTACCCCTATATCACACAGCCAATCCTACATTTTCTTATCACTTCATTTCAGGCTTACTTCTATGGAAAGAACATCTTAGTGCATGCTGCAAGCTCTAAAGCTGTGTGTGGGTTGGGAAAAAAGAAAAAAACAGGGCATATGAAATTGAAGCTCAAGAATAGGTTCCTTGGGGAACTCAGCACAAAATTGAAGAATACAGTTTTAAACCCAAATTCCTTACTTATCTGTTTGCTTGTAATGAGGAAGAGGAGGTGCAGGCCTGCTCTGCATTTCTTTATCTAGCACAGAAGTTAAGGTATTGCTTGGACAAACGGATTTCCCTCTAAAGAAATAAAAGAAAGATTACTTAGTTCAATAGGAAATCATACTCATTAAGAAGTTGGGAATGAATAATATTTTTAAGTAGCAGTTTTGGTGTCAGAGTTCACACTTGAATTCTTAAATAATGTATTTAAATATTTAATTTTCCAAACATGGAGACCAACACTGCAAAAAGTGCATTTTCTTTACCAAGAATCCATCCAGTATTCTAAATGTCTCCCCACTGCTGTCTATAAAAGATGCAGAAGCAGCTTAGTAGATTTGAGCATTGGTATTCAGATTCCTTTTCTGCGTGTGAGGTCCACAACTCCTTTCTACTATGAAGTGCACTAAATGATCAACTGTTAAAACAAATAAACTGGAATACTTTAGGGTAACATATCTGTTCTTTCGAAGAACAAGATATATATCAGAAGGAACAACTTAATAGCTTAACTCAGAACCACAAGAACACAGTTCACTGAATCTTTACAACATTATCTAAAATTTTGGAAGCACCTTCTCAAATGCTGGCAGTAAATTGTGTTAAACTCGTTAACCACAGCACTCTGCTAAGAGGCACTCTCTCAAACAACACTGCCTCTTCCTTGTAAGCAGTTCCAGGTTAATCAGATCAGAAAAAAAAAATGCATTAGAGTGGGGAAATTAAAAAATCAGCTTCTTCTGCTCTCTACACAAATTACAATCTATAGTGTGATTGCCATCACACAATGAAATGTCACACTTGTGCCTGTCCCATCTGCAGTGTAACGGTCACCCCATGGCTATGGTTAGAGAGCAGTAGGTTCTCCAGTATAGGAGGAAAACGTACTTCAGCATGTATACTTATATGTTTTAGGCTGTGAATCACACTCAACTTCAGTTGTCAGTCTGTGCCCAAAGGCTGCGTTGGCTGGAGAAAGAAGGAAGATATATAAAAAAAAAAATAAAAATCTGCAAACAAACAACTCCCAACACCCAGGAAAAAAAAAGTCCTGGAAAGATCACAGATCTCAAAAAAGGCATCTAACTAAAAAAAAGAAAAGAAAAAACAAAACAAAACAGACAAAAATAATTACTGAACATACTGTATCTCTAATAGGTTGTGGAGATGTCTTAAAATTTCCTCTAAATTCATGAGCCACTTTCAATAGTGAGTTTGTCTTATTTCACTTGGATGATTTCACTGAAAGACTGAAAGAGCTTCCACTGTTAGCATCTTTCCCACTCCAAGTTTCTTCTTTATCTTCTCTGGGGGCACATAAGATCAATTTTTTACCCTTGCTGCACTTTCTTCTAAATCCATGCAACTGGCATTTTCAGACCATACTACTTCTTGTACACTACATTAAACTGCATTCCTGAACAGCTTTTATTGGTTATTAGCAAAGGGTTCCGCACTCAGAGAGTTGCCAAGCATTGGAACAGGTTGCCCAGGGAAGTGGTTGAGTCACCACCCCGGAGGTATTTAAAAGATGTGTAGATATGATATTTAGTGACTTGGTTTAATGGCAGACTTGATAGTACCACTGGACTCAATGATCTCAAGGGTCTTTTCACAACCTACATGATTCTATGTCAAACACTAGATACAGATGTGTCCTCCTTATTTACTTTATTCATGCATTTTTAAATATTCTCCTCCAGATCCTGAGATTCTCTGTGCTTGCTAATTGTATTAAATTCCTATTCAATGGATACCAACACACGCATCTTGTTTCTTTCAAAATTACATACTGAATAGCAACAATGCTGCAAAGCAATGGGTAGCACATTGTTATAATTCCAGAAATGTGCACATGTTGAGTTCCATGCTTTGTCACATACTTGATAATTCATACTTTCTGCCCATTTCCCTAAGGGCTCTAAGCAGGTGAAATCTCACATCAGTACACAGATGAACACCAGTTCTATATCAGAGCTTAAAAAAAAATTAAATTTGAAAATAATTTAATTAATTTAATTTTAAATTAAATTTTAAATATTAAAAAAATATGTATTTTTCTTATTTCCATTATCTTAATCTTTTTTATTTCATAATGTCTTGCTTCTATCAGTCTGTATTTAAGGACAAATTTTTGTGATATTGTGGCAACACATATTAAAAACTCCACAACATTTTCAAGGTAAGTCAAAAGTCCGCTAAAATATTAAGTGGTGATTCCTGAACCCCTTTCAGTATTGTTTTAGACCGAGTACTGACAGTCTATTCCAATGAACTACAAAATCTTACAAACATAAGTCACCAATTAAAAAAGCATTCTCCCCAACAGTGAAAGATTTCATAATTTGGAAAAAATGTTACTTGTCACTGGCCATAATTTTTTCAAGGTTATATTACATTTACATGTATACTCTAACAACAAGTATATTACAGTCCTATCAGTTGGGAACAGCTAATTTTCCTCTCCTGTCTAAAATGGTTAAAGAGTCCTTCTCTCTCCCTAGCTCTAAGCCTGACATATAAAGTCAAATGTTCACACTGCCATTTCAGTTACAACTCCACTGCAGAGCGAGTTCTAACTGGAAAAAGACAACAGTGGTAGATGGGCGGGTATTTTGTTGTCTTCTTCCATTTTTATCAACTGTGATATACAAAAACATGGAAAGCAAATTGCCTGGAAGTAATTAAGCAAAAAAAAGAGGCAGGTTACAAAGGCCTTCAAAAATCTGTAGTAAAGTGTCCTTATTCTAGAATATCAGACTACATCTCACTTGTATAGTAAAAAATAAAATAAATGAGAGCTCCGAAATGCCAGAAACAGAACACTTAGAATACACGTGCAGTAATCTCTACTAATTAGCTAAAAAAAAAAAAAAAAAAAAAAAAAAATTAAAAAAAAAAAATCCTACTGAAAAAAAGAGAATGTTCCTACATTTCAAGAAAGGAAATCAGCAGTTCTGCTCTAAGGTTAATGTTCCCTGGATGTAGAGGGTTAATACAGAGAACTTTCAAAAATCAGGAAGAATCAAAGCCTTGTGAAGAATCAGAGATGACTCTGGAACCAAATTTGCTTTAGTCACATCAAGGCTTAGACCTTTTTTACCCTTGACAAAATTTAGCATCCCTCAAAAAAGAGCAAAAAGCAGAAGACATACCAGCAAGCTGGTATGCCATGAAACCACAGATTTAGAGAGTACAGGGATTTAGAGACAAAAATCTATAAACTTACACTCCAGCAAAATTAACACCACTTTCTGTATACATTGGTGGTACACTGATTGGTTAAAGAAAAAAAAAAAAAAAGAGATCAAACAGTCACTCACATTTAGCCCATGTGGAAAAACCCCAAACAACTGAATTCAACTAAACAAATGTACAATGGGGAAAAAACCTTTGATTAAGTAATTACCAGAAATAAGAAAGAAAGCAGACCCTATCTAACCAGCTATGATTATCTATCATCAGTTGTGAAAGACCTGTTGATACGAAAACAAAAGACTCTGCAAGTATTTTGAACATTTTGATATGAAAACTGCCATTAGTCATTTCATTAACTTATTCTTGAAGTAAGGAAAAGCCAAGTGCCTGCCTGAAGCAACAAAGCTGAGATGACGCATTTTTAACAGCAGTACAGGGAAAAACATGAACATAAACTATCTGCTCATTTTAAGGCAGTGCTAGTGCTGCCTGATGTATAAAACTGAAATGTGGAAATCATGACTCAATTTATCTTCTTCAAGACTTCAAGCTCAATTTTTATATCTACAGGACGGATCAGCATTAAACTGTTTTGGTATGAACTACTACAAAATTCTCTGTCCACCAATCTGTCCAGACCTACTCCATGTAGTCTTGCAATAATGCACCACCATCTTTCAGACAGAGAAGATTTTTGTGAAAAATGTCTCTAAAAACTGGTAAACAGCTGAGGTGGAAAAATGAAGCAAATGGCTCTTTAACAATTTCTTGATTGTTTAAACTCCATATATTCTACATCGTAAGATTTCCAGAAGCAAAACATACTATTCTCAGGGTAAAAAAATGTCAACGTTTAAGGAAAAAACAGTAAGAAAAAAATGCAGTTTTCTTCTGAAGCAGGACTATTTTGAAAACCACCTTGGCTGGTGACTTTATAGAAGTATTTGTAATTAAATTGCTTTAAAATTCTTAGAAGTTGCAGATATTGAGAGGTATTGCCTTGCAATAGGCCTTTGTGATTGCAAAAGGAGGTGGGGAGAAAGTTCGTTTTTGCCTCTTGGCAAAAAAAGAAGATAACATTCTTAGACAGTTAAGGATGGAATAAAAGCTCTTAAAGAAACAAGAGTACCTTCAGGTAGTCAATAATTAAATGTGAATTTATTTTAGATACCAGAAAGGCTGCAGAGACAGTTAAGTAAAATGGATTTGCACCCAGAGTTCAAGTACTGAAACATGCCCGGAAAAACTTAAAGGAGTCAAAGGATAATTTTATTTCCTCAGAACATACACTTGGCTTTCAACCCTGCTACTGGGATATGCAGTGTTTTCTCTCTGTGATGCACTGTCATGATCTAATAAGGAGGTTCCTTGTGGTTACAGGGGTTTAATATCTTTAAGTCTTTGATCCTGCTGATCTTGCATAGTCTACATCTAGGTAACCATTTCCAAACCATTTTCAGACTGACCTCACTGAAAGGAAATAAAATCCTGGGTGAAAAAAATTAACACAGGACAACTATGGCAGTATGTGGCTTCCTCAATGAGAACCATGTGGGACCTTGTCACCTTCTTGAGAAGTCACCTTGTTCATGAGGAAAATCTGAGCCTAATGTTCTTCCTAGAAAAACAGGACAAGGATGGGTCTTACAGGGATGAATGCCCTCAAAACCACTTCTAGGATGTCTTGAGTCCATACAAGCTACTTAAACACTGGCCCCTACATAAAAACAAGCAGATACCCCTTTAACAGGCTCTGGAATTCAGAGTTATTTCAAGAAGGAGGAAATTTTTACTCATCTGAGTAATAAAGTTCAAAAAACGAGATAAGTACAGTGAAATACAAGTGTGACTTCGAAAGGAAAGCTTTACCCTTCTCATCATAACAGTCTGGCTATTACCTCCGAACCTAGTTCAGAAAGAAATCTGGTAATGCAACTGTTCAAAAGATGGTGATTGCAAAGATGACCAACAGGTCAAACAACAGGTCAAAGCAAAGAGAAAGGCATTTACAAGGATTCACTACAGGTCTTACACTTCAAATGACACCAGAACTGTAATTCAGATCAAGCTTAACAGTCAATACTGGGAATGATCTTCTTTGTGGTTATATATGGGCAATGCTGTACAGGACTGATTCTAATGTACCTATATATGACCAACTTTGACTGACGGAGGCAGAGGCTGAGGGCAAAGTTTGCCCCACCATCTCTGGAATAGGAAGAAGCCTGGTTGGAGGAAGCTTTCTTAGCACCAAGGAGACTTTCTCACCCTTCTAACAGACATGCATAAGGATGTAACGATTTGAATGACACAATGGTGAAGAGTGAAAAGAAGGAATGATCTTTTTGCCAGAATGGCTTTCATTTATTTATACATGAAAGAGTCCACAACAGAATTCAAAGGCATTGCTAAGACAGAATGAAACAAAACCATTTTGACTTTCTGATGATTACTAGCTCTGGGAGTTGAAGAAGCCATTGTGAAATACTCAAAAATATCATCCTGGAACTTGAGTTATTACTCATGTGAGGCTACAGTGTTTTTTATACCATGAAGAAGTGGCAAATAAAAATAAAATAAAATGAAGCTTTGGAAGAATTCATTAAATTAAGAAATACTGCTATGCAGCTGAAGAATAGTCTCAGTAGACCACTCAAGTGTCTTTTAAGAGTGGTAGCAATGAAATAGAAGTATGTGCATTCTGCACAGTATGCTATTCCCTGAAAAATGCAAGAGAAGGAGCAAGTGTGCAATCTATCCTAAAGCCATACAGAGGATGGCCTACCATTCTCAACTTGCAAAATATCCCTTTGCTTTTAAAGCATAATCATCTGCCCTGTTCCTTTTATCATCTCCACTAATTTCTCATCTGCCCCCCTATTTGTTTTTAAATAAGCTTTTTCAAATATTTGAAATATCTCTGTTCATCTTCCTTTACTTGAAACAAAAAGTATCTTTCATTGTAAGATCAAAGTAATGATCCATCTCTCTTGGAAGAAATCAAGACTGTAGATAAGCTACCAAATAATGAACAAGTTCAAGAATAGCTTGTGACCCTCTAAGAACATGGAAGGTGAAAGATTTCTTACTACTGCAGTCAATATTTACAATTAAAAAAAACTGGTTGTTGACTAATCACAATTTGACAGTGTTAAACTAAATATGTTGCTGGTAAGGAGCACAATCAATGAAGTCCTGATACCAGAAGCTTTCCCATACTACGTCTCTAGTGCAATCAGCTTGGTTTTTTCCCTAGCTATATTCCCTTCATTTTCTTTACCATGAACTGCCCTCTGTGAGTGTTCTCCAAAACATTTCATTTTTGCTATCAAACCTCTTCCATTTATAGTAATTCCAGCTCCCTCTTTGTCCATTAACTAAAGAGGGAGTATACTCGGCAATAGGTTCATATAGATAGAGAAACATGTTACAATAACCAGATTTTTTCAAAGGCGGTATAAATTTAAGTATGATTTCTCAATCCAGCAATTAGTTTTCATAAAATTTTATTACACACATTATTTTTGGTATCACTATCAAATCTAGTTGATGACAAAAAGTTACTGTTAGATGAATGGAAAACAATCTTGCAAAATATTTTCTTAGTTTTATTATTTCTAATGGTGTTTTCTTCTCTGAAGATTTACTTCAGTAAATGAGCCCATGAAACTATCAATTCAAAAACAGGTTTAAAATTTTTTCTATTGGAAATTACTGCATTTTGCAAATTGCATTGTAAATAAACTCCTTCTGGTAAGTGATAAAAACCCATCCAATTATTTAAACTATACTGTAAAAATTTGAAAACAATGAATTACATACTTCACTGCAGTGATAACAACATTGCGCTTTGGTTCGTTGTCATAGCTCACACTTTCAATGCCATAAACCTGAGCTAATTCATGGATGATTCTGCGGTGATCTCTGTTCATTGGTGGGTAACAATGACTCTTCTTTGTATGCTTGCCCTGAATTCAACAGAAGAGGTTAAGAAAGAAGAGAAAAAAAAAAGGTGAAGTTTTCCTTCAGGAGAGCCAGGGGGAAGAGAATAATTTTACAAAGTGTTTCTTCATCTAAAATTTTGCTGCTATGACAAAATCAATACCACAAATTGCTAAGACCTCAGTATTGTCAGAAAACTCATCTGAAAATACTCATTTAACTCCCCAAAATTAAATTATATGTTCTCTGTTGTTTCCATCACCTCAAAGTATACACACACCCGCACAGGGGTATCTTTTAAGTTTGAAATACAAATCCTGATTACAGTCATTCTACTTAAATCCCAAAAAACAATACAAAATTATTTTTATCAGAATTTGTATTTTTCAAAATAATCTGCTGAATTCACATGAGATCCTATTTTATTTTGTAGATTGGCTTCACAATGCACATATTGCAGATAGCAACAAAGATGTCAAATTTATCAATCACTTCCCTCTACCAAAGAAACTATTTATCTGCAAGTTCCTCGTGTAATGGCATCAGTAGATTCTTTATTAAATAAAACCCCAAAGTTCTAATCCATTAACAAAGACTGATAATGTTCGATTCAATACTGATTTTTATATCAACAGTAATAGAACAAAGAAAAAAGCAGGGCCCTATGAGCCCATGTCTTTAACAGGTTGGATCAATTTGTAACAACAAATGCATGTAAGAATGAGTGTGTAATAACTCAGTGCTTCAGTATGCTTTCATGGATTCAGGATACTACTTCAGCTTTTGCTTTCATTATCACCAGAGAAGTCTTCTGGGTCTCTAGGTCAACAGAAAGGATTCAAAGGGAAAACAAACTGCCTGTAGTAGAGTAAGTTTAAGTCAGGGACTCCTAGAGAAATCTCAACCTATGTAAATTCCTAGGACTGCAGGCAATGCATTTAAGGTCCTGAGAGACCAGGATGATATCCCACTTCTCCATCACCTCTGAAAGATTGTAAGAACAGCGTAGGAACCCAATGACTCAAGAGAGGTAATTGTTGCAACTGTATACAAACAAAAAACCAAACAAACAAACCCAAGAACTATTGGCTGATTAGCTAAAATTCAAATCTATTTTTAGCTACACGGAGGAGGAAAGTCCCTGGGATTTTGTAAATCAGTGTGGATTTACAAAAGGTCAGCCACTAAAATTAATGTAAAAACCACCACATGTAATAGAACAAGTCACCAGGAGTACATTGCAGCTATCCTGAAAACAGAGGGTTAATATCTGTCTCTTAGATTATGAAGCTGCCAAGTTACAAATAGAAACTGTGGTCAACCATTTCCGTAAGTCTTCAGGGTAATCACATGCTGACAGAATATTATCTTTACTTTGCAATTAACAGTAATAAACTTCCCAGCTATTACAACATTTCCAGCACAGATACAAGAATTTGAAGAACTCTATAGATTCTGTACCTATTTATGATTACTAGTATGCTTGCTTTAGAAGTGGTGATGGTTCCATGCTCTGAAAAACATCACAGTTCTTGTCCCTATGAAGACAGAGCTCTGTCCTCTGTCTTTTCTGCTTATATATACCAACCATGAAAACTCTGCTATGCTAGATATATACTGGTGAGTGTAGGGCAAGAGATGCTTATGAAGCAAGTAAAGTCATATATAATAGACAGAGCTGAATCACATTAATAGTAAAACTCTTCAGTATCAAAATCCTTTTTATTTCTCATTTATCCAGTTAAGCTGAAGTGAGCATCTCCAAAGATAAAATGAAAAAAAATAAAATTAAAAAGCAGAAGCAAACTGTGTAAGCCTAAGTAACAGTAATCAGTATGAAATACCTAGTACTGATACAGGCAGAGCCACATGAATACTTGATAGATTAGCATGCAAAGTACTTTTAACATAAGTAAAGTTCAACATATAGAAACAAAGAAAACAAGCCACACACTTAGAGAAGTTTAGGAATCATAATGAACAAACAACCAAACACAGACTCAAGCATAAAGAGGACTTGAGGATCATGGCAGAAGAACAACTAAAACCAGTCTCCCTGCATAATGAATGCTATGTCACACATATTAATTCAATCTTTAGCTACATAAACCTGTGGGTTGCAAGATGAAATGTGACTCTCATAAGAGAGAAAAGAAAGCCTCTGAGTCTTTCTCAGAAATAAAAGAAATAAAAAGAAAAGTTATGCAATGAGTACAAGGGCATGTTAACTTTACAGTGCATGGGAAATATTCCCTTTTAGAACTCTATGCCATGATTTTGAAGGAAAAGAGAGTTGGAGCATGGCTTCCACGCATGCTGTCACTTTAGTTTCAAGACAGGGTAGGAGGATACATGGAGCTATAGGCAGGTCAGCCTGTCCTGGGGTGACTTTATGATGCTTGCATCCCCAATCATCTGGCTTATGTTACATATTAAGTTCTGCACCTTTAAGACTGGCTCTGAGAGCGAAGCTGGGGGAAGAAGAATCACACAGTTTGTGTTGCAGAAAAACACTCACTCCCCCGCATCCTGCTTCTGGACTGTGGTGTCTGCAGCACGGACAGACAGCGGCACAGAGCTTTCTTTTACTTTTAGTTAGTTTTTAGCTAGTTGAGGCAGAGAAGTTCCCTGGACTTTTTTTTCCCTTTTTCTTGGATCTGTTCAAACCTGCTCTGGACTGAAAAAAACAGCTAAACACCGGGAGCTCAAGCCTGTGGCCCACCAGGGCCTGGGCCTTGGCACTTGCCAGTGGTGGAGGGACTGATAAGAACCTGAGAGAGCCGAGTAGCCCCACATAAAAAAGATTTTTTCTGGATTTGCCATTTCATCAAACAGCAAGAAGTTTTATTGTTTAATACTATTCAATTTCTGTTAAATAAAGTGTTTTTTCCACTTTTCTCCAAGGAAATCCTTTTTCCTAAACCAGTTGGGGGAGGGGCCGCTTGAATTTGCTTTTCTGGGGAGACCCCCATTTAGAAGTTCTCTCCCAAAACCTAATTTTGGTTTAGGGTGAGAAGTTCTCTCGCCCTAAACTAAGACACAGCCTCACTGCAATCCCTGGGGAATCTTCTCCCCTTTGAAATACAACTTGATTTCTGGGAGCTTTCTGGGAAATTCTCATACCTTTATGGAATAGCAAATCCCCACAGCCTGATGGGTAGGATGGTACAGAAGTCATCCTTGAGACACTCAACTGTCATGTGGCCCTAAATGATTCATCCTGATCATGATAAAAAGCTGGGTACACTGAGTCATTCTCCCCTTAGGTCAGACAGGGGAAAGACTGAGATGTGGTTTGTTTTCCTATTTTCCTTCTCTTCTGCAATGTAGATGCTTCTTACCAGGCACTACTTGTCTGCTTTGTAGGATTGTTATTTAACAAACAGCTGGTTTGCAATGAAATCTAAAAAACTGGAGATGCCCTCAAGCTTTCTGGTACTCTTGTATATTTGATTTTATTTGGTAGTCTTGCATATTTGATGTCACTAATTGCAAATTCAAGACCTCTGGTTGCCCCTTTTTAAATATAATTACATATCTTAGTTTGATATTAGTATAAGCACATATCTGGTATATGCAATTACATATAGAAAGATAAATGTGTACACACACACATATGTGTGTGTGATAAAGGAAATGTATAAAGGAATACGTAAAATAGATAACCACAGGCAACACAACACTAGGCAAATTATTCTTAGCTAAAACAATATAGATAACAACTACTCTATGCATCTACTTCCAAGTGCTGGAGGGACCTGAGTATAATTAGCATAATCTGTACCCCAATGAACAAGAAACTGAGCACAGAGATCAAGAGACAAACTAAGAACTCCTGTTAATACTCAAGCAGTACATATACAGGAGACTCAAGCAGTGTCAGGCCACTTGGAATGAACATAAGTAAGTTTTAAGAATAAGTAGAAATGAGACAATGAAGGCCAAGGCCCATCTGGAATTACATCTGGCCAATTATGACAAGGACAGAAAGAAGGGCTTCAAATTCATAAACAATAATAAAAGGAAAACTAAAGATAATGTGGACCTATTACCAAACAGAGGTGGGGACCCTAGTAAGAGGACACAGAAAAGATGAAAGTATGTGAACACCTTCTTTGCACCAGTCTTGACTGACAAATCCTCAAGAATCTAAGACTCAGGAGACCGGGGTAAAGGAACGTTGGAAGGAAGACTTTCTGTTGGTCAGAGACTGGGGTTAGAGAACACCTAGGCATATTTGATATCCGCAAGTCCATGGGCCCTGACAGGATGCATCCATGAGTGCTGAGGGAGCTGGTGGACATCATAGTGAGGCTGCTTACAATCGTTGAAAGGTCATGGTGGTCAGGAGAGGTACATGAAAACTGAAAGAAAGCCAACATCACTCCAGTCTTTCTTAAAGGGCAGGAAGTACTCTGAGGAACTACAGGCCAGTCAGTCTGCCATGGCTTGATACTGGCCAAAAGCCAGGCAACCAGGAAAAGCCACTCACCTTCCCCTGCTACAGCTGGGCAGAGGAGAGAAAATTTAACGAAGGGTTCATGAGTTAAGGGCCGGAAGAAAACACTCCAAGGGCGGAACAGGCTGAACTTAAGAGACAGAAAGTGAATTTATTAGTAAGAAAATCAGAGCAGGATAATGAGAAGTAAAATAGGTGGTTTTTAAGGGCTTTTTTCCCCAACCACTCCCTCCTTCCCACCAACTGCCCAAGGCGACAGGGGGATGAGTGTTTTGATCAATTCATCACTCAAGATTTTCTTCTGCTTGGCTCAGGGAGAGAAGTCATTCCCCTATAAGACTATGGAGTCCCTTTCCATGGAAGACAGTTCTTCACAAACTTCTCCAGCATGGTTCCAATCTCACAAGCAGCAGTCCTCATTGAACTGTTGCAATGTAAATTCCTACCAAGGGCAAACAGTCCATCCAAAACTTAGGTCACTCTTCCATGGGGTGCAGTCCTCCAAGGAGAGTCTGCTCCAGTCTGGGAGCAGGGGCCCTCTTATCTCCACCGGGTCTCCCAATGGATCACAGCCTCCTACAGGCATCTACCTGCTCCAGTGTGGGCACCTCCCACATGGGTTGCAGATGGATCTCTGTATCCCCTGTGGAACTCCCACAGGGTACTGGGCTGCCTGCTTCATCATGGTCATCACCATGGCCTGCAGAGGAATCTCAGCACCTGGAGAAACTTGGCTCCTGCCCTTCCTTCTCCACTGACCTTGGTGTCTCCATGTCACATTAGCTGGAATTAAAACTGCGTCACCATCTTTGTTTTGATTTCTTCTTAAATATGTTATCACAGAGGTGTTACATTATTTCTAATTGGCCCAGCCTTGGCCAGTGGCCTGTTCATCTTCAGAGTCATCAGGGATTGGCTTTGCCAGACATGATGAAATTTTCTAGCAGCTTCTCAAAGAAGCCACCTCTGTGGCCCCCACCCCACCACTACCAAAAATCAGGCCATGCAAAACAAACAAACAGTCTCACATCAATTTCTGGAAAGATGATGGGAATGTCTCATCCTCAAGGTCATCATGGGATGACAAGAAGGTGATCAGGATTTGTCAGTATGGATTCACCAAAGGAAAATCATGCATAACCAATGTGACTGTATGATAAAACAACAATCTATCCCCTGGATAGGTAAGGCAAGAGCACTGAATATTGCCTACCTGGACTTCAGGAAGATTTTTGACACTGTCCTGTGACATCCTCATAAGTTAACTCAGGAAGTGCAACCTGGATGAGTGGACAGTGGGGTGTACTGAGAACTTGCTGAACAGCAGAACTCAGAGATTTGTGATCAGTGCCAGAGAGTCAAGTTGGAGGCCTGTAACTAGCAGTGTTCCCCAGTGGTCAGTACTAGCTCTAATACTGTTTTAACTTATTCATCAATGATTTGGAACTCCTCAGCAAGTTCACTGATGACCCAAAGCTGGGAGGAGTGGCCGACACCCTGGAGGGTTGTGCAGCCCTTCAAAAGGATCTCAACAGGCATGAGGGATGGGCAGAAAGGAACCTTCTGAAATTCTTTAAGGCAAGTACAGAGACCTGCACTCAAGGAAGAAGAACCTCATGCACCAGTATAGGCTGACCTGCTGGAAAGCAGATCATCAGACAAGGATCTGTAGGTGCTGGTAGGCAACAAGCTGTCATGAGACAGCATTGTGCCCTTGTGGCACAAGGCCAATGGCATGGTACGCTAGGAAGAGTGTGACCAGCAGGTCATGAGTGGTGATACTGCTCCTCTACTCATCCCTTGTGAGGCTTCACCTGGAATTCTGTATCCAGTACTGGACCAGCACAAGAGAGGAATGGAGCTCCTGGAGCAAGTCCAGCAGAGGGCTACAAAGATGATAGGGGACTGGACTATCTCACAAGGATAGGCTGAGACAGTTGGGCTTACTTTGCCTCAAGAAGAGATGACAAATAGGATTTTTTTTATTATTATTTCTTTTGTCAATGAGTATCTGAAGAAAGAGTGTCAGGAGGATGGGGCCAGGCAACTTAATAGTTGGCCACTTAATAGTGCCAACCAACATGACAAGAGGCATTAAGCAGAAACTGATGCACAGGAAGTTCCACATGAACATAAGAACAGAACTTCTTTACTGTGCAGGTCACTGAGAACTTAAACAGATTGCCCAGAGAGGTTGTGGAGTCTCTCTCACTGGAGATATTACAGAACTGTCTGGATGCAATCCCGTGCAATGCGCTCTAGAATTACCCTGCTTGAGCTGGGAGCTTGGACTGGATGACCCAACTGGGGCCCCTCTGGTAACTAGACACAGACTGACTCATTTTAGTCCTTCATTCTAATGATGGAAACAATGGGCAAGAACATTAGACAGACAGACAAGCACCGAGACTGTTTAAGAAACATTATCCATAATTTTTTGAAGGAATAAAGTTAAGTAACTGTCCTTAGGCCTAGGGGGATCAAAATGATCCTTTTTACAGAAGGTTAGCTACTTCCTGAGCTAAGGGCAACTGAGGATAGTATAGTTTACGTGGTACTTTGAACCACATATATTGGGTCTTTCATGGAGAAGCAGCAAGCTAACCTGACAGACATGAAGGTGGTACCACTGAAAAATACATGATTGTGTCTGTGGTATCAACCTCTCTAAGTATACTGGAGTCTCACAAACCCTGTAGCTGAATCCAGGTTTCTTATAGAAAAAGGACAACCTCACGCACTGGCAGATGTAGGAAGGCATCAAAAAAATTGTGAGCAAGTTCCACTACAAGAATCAGAAGTACCTAGGCTTTCCTTCTCAAAGTCTGAATGTTTAAAACTCATCTTTGACAATATTTTATTAATGGAGATCCAAAATTTGATGATAATCTATTGATGCATTAAAGCCTAGCACTACTTGAATCCTTCAGCAAAGTTTGGCATCAAAATGATCCTGAACTACTAGGTCTCCTAAAAATTTTGGTTTTTTTACAAAAAATTGTGCACTATATTGGAACCCAAACAGATCTAGTGTCAGCTCATAACTATGAGTATTAATAATGTTTAGTAATATCAAACTCCCCCCAAATGAAACCAATTCCTAGAATCCATACAGAATATATGAATACTGACCTTATTCACAGCTTCCACAAGCATTCTCATTTCCTTCTCAATGTCACTGACAAATTTTATATCCTTCCTGCAAGAACAGCATTCTAGGTTAACAAGGCAAGAGACTGTACAAAGTTAAAATATCTTCATATTTTGTAATATTTTTCAACAAGAACAAAATTAAGGAACACAACTGACTGAAGCAGAAGCTTCAGTCACATTAAAAGAGTGTATCACTATCACAAAAATAATTATTTCCTCTTCAACAACTGGAACTGAGAATAAAATTCTATTACATGGTTCTACTGTCTGACATTACAATTCTACATTTTCAAATTAATAATGTAGATTTTTGAGTTGCCATTTTGGTGTTTTACTCATCATTAATTTACTTAATTACAATATATAATGAGACACAAAAAGGGGAATAGGGTAAACAAAGAGGAGTTCTTTTCCAAGACAAAGCTCACTGATTTTGGTCTTCAGCTCACCTAGCATAACAAATTATTAAGATTGCAAGAAGCACTATAAAGCTACTTGCAAGCAAAAAAAAACATTCTTCATGTGAAACACTAAGGATTTGTTTGAAGTATTTTTTTTTAACTAGCTTCATCACAGAACTTCCAGTCTTTCATTTAAGGGCAAACTTTGTGCTCTGCTCTTAAATACGCAGGTAAACTAACTTTAAAAGTAAGGTTGCTGTTTGTTAGGCCACCATCCCCATGGGGAAAAAAGGCTACCTGAAGATTTCATATGTCAAAGCTGGTTAGTAGTAAATAATTCTTCAAAAACCAGGCTATTCCATGACTATTCCATGTCAACACACTACCACTTTGTGAATGATGTCAGAATTTAACCAGTCAAGAAGTCCCTACCACAGATAGTCGTGCTTGCTTTGGTAGATGACCTACCAAAGTTCTGGATGAAATGAATGTATCATCAAAAGACCAAACAAATGGTCTCAAACAAATGTGCAAAATAACAACAGTGAATAGCTTAGCTATCAACATCACTTGATCAGATTCAATGGACTTAGCCCATCCCAAGTAAACAAGCCTTCCAGATTTAGCAGAGTACAGACACTGCATCTATCTATGAGAATTCCTTGGTCTTCACCAGGAAAACTGGAAAAATGACTTTAACTGGGTAGAGTTTTAAAAAAAGGGACCTCCAGACACCTATGGTGTGAAATACCATCAGCTCATGTGGTATGAGGCTTTGGAAAAAATATTACAGCAATAATTTCAAGTTCAAAAAACCCCCAATCCCCAAACAAAAACCCCAACTCAACAACAGAAAACCCAACCAACCCACTGATACCTTCAGGATTCAGAGGGTTAGAAAGCACCTACTACACAGAATGTCAACTATGAACACCTGAATTTCAAGGTGATGATGGCAGGTAAAAAAAATAATCAATAATCCAATGAGAGGGTCCACAAGTATCTAATATTTAAAAGCATACTAAGAAACCAGGTAACACGCTGGGGGATCCACTAAAAAAAAACCCTTCAGGAGCCTATATAGAAGCAGAGATTTTCATAGTCCATACAGTGGGGTCCTGCACAGCCAGTGAAAAAGTAAGACAATTCTCTTCTGTGCAGCTCCAGGTGGCTAGATACTTCAGATGTTCTGTCTTTCTCCAGTAGGTTTAATTGATCAAATAACATCCTCATCATCATCAATGTCATGCACATTGATACTTGTGCTGGTCTACCCTCCAACTTCATGTCAACAAATCAACCTAAGCATTTTCTCACTTTCTGTATGTATTTCTGAAGCTTCTTAGAAAGGTCAGTGCTGAGGTGTCCAGCCAGTGGATCTGTACCTCCTCAACTGTGCTCAGTTGGTAGTCATATCCATGCTACAAGATGGCTTCCCCTTTGCAGCAGAGTATCTCCTCAAGTAAAGCTACATGGTGGAGAGACTTCCTTGGACTCCTCATCTAATCCTGACAAACACCAGCAAGATTAGCATGCAGCAGTATTACCATGCTTTTCATGCTACCCCCTTCTCTTGTCACTGTCCTATGAAGGAGAGATATTATCTTGACATGCTTACTTATCTTTTTCCTGTTACCTGGAGCTGTACTGCATTTTGGGAGCTTTAGGGTTCTGTAATTAAAGATTACACCTCAAAATCAGGAGTTCTTACAGCTTTTTCAAATTTTCTTCATTTTTAGGTATACATTTCTTTCAGTTCTTTCAGCTCTTGCCAATTGATCAGCTACACAGATCAATTAATTACCTAAAGAAGATAATATGGCATTCTAGTAATGACTTTGGCAACTGCTACCTTCTTGAGGCAGCGACTCTGAATGCACAGGGAGGCAGCTGTCATGTTTCTCAATCATTCTCAGATCCCATTTTTAAGTTACGCTCTGCAGAAAGCCACAAGCCCTGAACTCCTGCATTACTGATGTGCTCAAGCAAGAATAAATTTATCTGCCAGAAATTATTCAGAATTCTGAGCCACCTGAAAAACATACTGTAACAGATACAGTTTCTGGATCTTGCCATCTTGATGGAAATTCAAATCTTTTGCTAGACTACTGAGACAAAATATCATCAGGAGCAGTCAAGTAAGCAAATTCATAAAGCCATAAATTCACAAATTGCAGTTCGCTGCTCTTGTAAAGAGAGCTATGTTACTATAAGGGGAAACTCATTTAAAACTAGATAAATGAAATCCAGCAATTCAAAGTACAAAGTAACTGATTTGAAGACTAACAAAAACTTTTGCTTTAGCTATGAATCTTTAAGAATAGCCTTGGTGAATTCGTTTATTCTAAATTACCAGTGCAAAGTGGCTGCAAACGAAACACAAGTAAAATCACTGAAAGAATGGGAGTGTGGAAGCATTAAGGCTACTTTTCAATGTATCTGGTCAACCATCTGCAGAACAGTGCGCGACCCTGGTCAGTTCTGTACATGAAAGATGAACACTGCACCATGTGTAGTGGCTGGCAGAAAGACGAGATAGAATTGTACTGCAAAAAAACACAGTAGACTACACACACAATGCAAAATTCACTTTCTTATTGTACTAAAAGTGTGTGCTGTGTTTTCTGAAAAAAGATAAAGCAAAACATATTCTACACACAACCAAGAGAATAGTCCTTATAAAATAGCACTTTTAAGTGCAAATACTAGTAAAACAGTAGCTCCACAATGAAAACATTCAGCTCCTATTTTGCAGTAGGCTAATCAGCTGGAAGTAAAGAAGACATAACTTGCTCTTAAATTCAAAATGGTTGCTTATGTAAAGTTTTCACCTAACATATCAGCAAATCGAATAAAGGATTTTCAAGTAGCAAACATACTTACAAAACCATGAAATTTATGTTGCATTAGAATACTGGAGCAAGAACACAACACACTAAGCTGTTCTAAAAAACTTAGACCTGGTAAAAACTAATGTCATTCCTACAAACACATATAAGAGTAAAAACTCTCAGATGACACATCATCTAAGCATCTTTGAAAAAATGTGTCTGATCCCTGATTTACTAAAACATCGATATTGATCTAGTATCAATAACAACCTGTTAACAGACAAAAGACTCTCAAATAGTTTAAAGTTAGAAAGCATATGTTTAATATCGGCACTGGGCAAGCATGGGGGTCATCCCCTTAATACGCACTGCAAGTCGACAAAAGACTCCAGTGTCTATTTATTTACGAAACTCTTGAATATCCAAAATACTAATGCATACCAATAATGCTAACGCCTCCCATTCCCTGCTTTGTATTAAAATGCATGGTAATGAGTTTAAAAAGTCATTACGCCTGCATGGTTGGTTCCCTATTTTGAGGAGGGGCTGTCAAGAGATGAAGGAAAACCGCTCTTCCTCACTCTGACCTTTCTACCTTTACAATGGTTGACACTACAAATGATACTTGGCAGAACTCCAGTTTCCTTCCTTCACGACTTTTAAATGGGTTTCCAGATGTAAGGTCTGTGTTCTTCCTAGGCCTATTTACTAGTTTCTCTTTTTCTCATTAGAAGCACAGCTAAACAAACATACAATGACAAGTAATTTGTTACCTAAGTCTGGGATTCATTTTCTCAAATCCTGCTTCTAACCTAATCATTAACTCTAATTCCAGCAAAGTCTATCTCTAGCTAAAATCTTTAACTTTTCTAAAATTTTCTAAGAAGTATTTACTGGTGTTAAGTTTTTGATATTACCTTGATTCCACATGGCCTCATTTTAGGATGTTTCAGTCTAGCAACCCTCTACACAGTCACATTGGCATAGCCTTTGCTCTGCATGCAACATTTGATTAATTACATTTCTTTATTATTAAAATAAAAGCAATAAGGAAAAAGAATAAATGAGACTGGTGGAAAGAACAGCAGGCTATGAGAGCATATTTCATTATTTAGTCATTATTTTGCCATTATTTTGAAATGTCTATAAGAAGCACTGAGGTGGAAGTTGGTTCTGAGTAAAAGCAGCAGAGATGCAAGAAGTACAAGTACTGATTCATAGTGAGAATGGTGTAAAATGATATTGCCATTCTAAATCTAGTCTGATTATAGAAAAAAGCAAAACCTGTCAGACACTTCTTACTTTTCAGGTTCTCATTTGGAAGGTCTTGAGAAGTGCACATCAACTCTTTTGCCTTAACTACCATTTACTACCAAGACAGTTATTTTTAGAAGAGTAAATAGAACTGTTCTGCATTTCTCATCTTGCTGTCAACATTATTGACTTATGACACCTACCATCATTAAAACACATACCTTGCATCTTCTTTTAAAAGGTCACTGTACTTTGGTCCAGAAGAACGGATATTAAAAGGATCAGAATTATCATCTATTTCAAGAGCTTCAGCAAGGCGCCTAAATTTGATGGTAGGAGGAAAAAAACCCAAAATATAACAAAAGCATAAGCAAACAATAAAAACCCTGATATAAATCGCCCCAACCGTCCACACATGTCACAGGTTACTAATACAAATGAACAGCTTGCAAAAGATAGGGTCTGTATATTTGAAACTCCTCATTTAGAACTAGATGGTTGCTTATGTAAAATTTTGTAAAAAAAATTCATAATTTTTTTTTTATTTAAAATTATTCTAGCAAGATTTCTGATCACTCAATATAGATCTTTATAATAGGAACCATCTCCACACATTTATCTTTTCTCTAGGTCATGCAGAAAATTTTTTCTCCACATAGCATTAACTTTCCAAACCTACACTACTTCTGTTTAAAAGAAAAAGGTAAGTTAATTTCTCACCTGTTCCTCTGAAGAGCTAAGCATTCTTCATCACATTGCAACCTGAATTATGAAAGAAAAATACAATTAGAATCACTGCTGCTACTCATACTTTTCAAGCTGTAGCTTGTTGGTGTCATCACAGTCTAAAGAAGTAACAAGAGTGTGTGAGAATATTTTATTGTATTAGAATAGACAGAGCTAAAAATAAACAAACAAGCAACTATCAAAGATCTTTGAGAACCCAATTCCTTCTCTAGATCTTGAACAGGAGCAGCAATTACCAAAGTCATATAGGAACTGAGGAAAAAAGCCTCTGAACTAGATGTTTTATTGGTAAATTTTGCTAAGAAGGACTGGAAATCAACAATGGAAGATGTCACTCCTATGAATCAGAAAAAATTATCAGTCAGGAAAAAGAAGAAAGTTAGACATGTCTATGGAGGATTATGGTGAACCATAAACATCAGTATTTCAACTGAACCCCTAATTTCTAGTGTCAGCAGTTAAGAATTTCAATTTTCTGTCACATCTTTGAAAGGTATTTCATAATTTTATTTTGAGGAATTAAAATGTTGGAGGAGAATCAGGAGTTGCCCAGAATTTCAGTGGCAGTTACAAACTTTTTCCCCAGACTGTGTAAGTTAATTAATTTTCTTGATAATTGTTCCTTACATAAAAAAAAACCAAACCAAAACAAAACAAACCAAAAAAAAAACCCCCAAAACTACAGGGTAAACTGTTTCAAACTGGTTTATTCAGAGGCATGTATTATCTTTGTTGACAAATAGTTCCAGGTTCCAGAACTTCTGAAGGCTTTTTTGAATGAGACATTAGAAAGCTAACATACTTGCACTCTTAAGATCAACACAGTACTATCTAAAGTCTTTTGCCTGAACAATTATTTTCTCCTCTACTAAAAGAGGAATGTAGCCAATTTATAGAAGCTACTCTAGGTCTGATCAAATTTGTCAAGAAAAATCCAAAGTTCTAATAAGAAATCTAAGCTAAAGTATAAAATGTCTGCAGACAGGACAGGAGAGTGAAACAAAGAAAGAAAATCCCTGCAGATTGCAGAAAACATTCTGTTATTGTAAATGAATGAAGCAGATTTGTACATTACCTTGAAAATACTGGAGTTTGACAATAAACTAAAAATTTCAGACTAAATATTTTATGTACCACCATCTCTTTTCCCCCTGCCCCAATATTCAGTAGACAAGAAGAGAGAAGGCAGAATACTTCCTCTGACAGTCTTCGAATAAAGGCTACCTACCACAGTTTAGATATCATATTAGAAAAGACTTGTATAAAGAAAACTCATCTCTGGTAAATTCAACCGTTCAAGGAAAGGGCAGTTTCTGCCTACACAGAAAGTTATGTGTTAGTGACTACAAAACAATATCAGAAGTTCTTAAGTATGTGGGCACTAGCTATTGATACAGGAAGTCATGAAGCAACTACATAGGAAATGTCATTACTTTGACTTTACACAATATAAAGGAACATTAGATTTTAACACACATAATAGACTGACTCTGAAATAATTAAATTCAATATAAAAAAGAAGACATGATAATAGAAATAAACTAAAACCGGAGACTAGGGACTTCAAAGGCCAAGACTTTGTAAGTCCTTCTGTAAGTCAAGTTTCTGACAGAAGGATGTTGGAGAAAGTTGACAACTTCATAAAGAAATGATACCAAAAGTAAAAGGAAAAGCTATTTCAATCCTGAGGAACGCCAAGAAAACTTATGTCACAAAATTAAAATCAGGTTTGTGGTGTCAGGCAAGATGACAACACAAAAGTACCAATCAAACTGAAATACAAATGTGAAAAATTAAAAAAAGGGTAATGCAAAAATATTGTAAATAGTAAAATGATGACTAATATATCCATAATAATCAATAATTCAGAAAGGAACACTGTATTGCTGAAACAGAAGATAAAGTCTGTTGTCCTGTTTAGAAATCTGAAAAGAAATCCAGAGGAACTCCAATGAATTGGCCAACTAGGAAAAAAACCTCTAAAACCACAGCTGTATTGTTCCACACTTAATTGTAACAACCAACCATACAATGACAGAAAACTCATCCAACATGAAAACAAAACCACAAACCACCATTAAACTGCAAAATACTCTTTCAGCAGTATTGCTGAAGTAGAATCAGGCTGCATAGGAAGACTGTAATTCTTCCTGTTACAGCTGGCATTTTTATCACCATATTAATGTATTTTGCATGTCACCTATGCTTCAGGTACACACAAAGGCTTCAAATACGTTACTACATGTATCTCCTTACCTGGCCTGCTTCATTTCTTTTTTTGTAATAAGCCTACTGATTTCCACTGAATCCCCAAGCTGGAGATCTGTTAGCTTAGTTGCTATAGATATAGCAGCTATTCTGAAAAAGAGAGTGGTAGATTTCATTTTAGGCAACACATAAACTTCTGAAAAGGTATACAAAGGTGCAGATTTAACCTCTACATGCAAGAAGACAGACTGATCGCTTGCTCATTAGATTACAGAATGGAACTCTCGTTCTACATCCCCAAGTTTTAGTAGTCTAATCTAGGTATGTAAATCAAGAGTTTACTCTCATCTCCTTCAACTAGGAGTAACACTAACAAATGGACATGCTTCTCATGGAAGTTGAGATTATGCAAGGCAAATACTCTTTCTCCTCACTTGCTAATCATACAAACTACAGCTGACTATACTTTAATGATAATTTTATCTGATTCTCTGTTAATCATGTGCAACTAAAATCTGTAAAAATTTATAATGTACTTAGATATCCACTTGAAAAATATAGTTACCACAATTCACAAGGAAAGGACAAAATGCCTACTGAGATCATTACTATTTTCTTTATAAAGATTCTTCCTAATTCCCTCCAATAACAAGTCTTCCCAGCCTCCTTTGCTTGCTAAAATTTGTATAACTAAAATATAAAGGAACTTCTTATGGAAGTATCCCACAGAATTTTCAAACTCCTAAAAATGAAGCATTTTATCCTCTTGAACTATCTTTCCTGCTACAGTTAGATAAAAGGATATCTTTATTTTTATATGTTTACCTCTTCATGTATTTCATCACATTCAAAGAACCAACCACCTATCATGAAGGAGGCTAATCATACTACATAAACAAAAAAATCACCGAGAGGCAATTCATATTGATCAGTTGATGCCAAAGGCTAGGTAATGAGACATTACAGGATATGACATCATCATTTGTGACATATGTACAGATAGAGCAGCACAGATATTTACTGTTCCCTGGGGCATTCTTTCACAAACATTCACTGACAAAGCCCAAATCTGTTTCATCATTTCTCTAAAATTTCTGAGAAAACTTGGATACTCCCCTAATTTGCTGACCTTTACTTTGTTGCAGTTTTTTGTTTATGGTTTTTGCTGTTGTTGTTTTGGTTTGGTGATAGGCAGGAAAAAAAGGCAAACTTTATCTCCACAAAATCAGAATAATCCTTCAGCAACTTGAACTGCTGAAGTTATCAAACTTAGCTGGCACATTACTATCAGAAGTCAAGAGTAATTTGTAAGCACATGTGAACACATTTTAACTGATACAAACACTTGCTTTAAACAGAACAGTTTCTTTCCCGTCCTCTTGATTTGAGCTCTGATTAGAGAAATAAATACATACATATTCACCTTACACATGCATGAACTCTGACTGACTTCAAAGAACCATTTTTCTTGCATGAATATTTTTGCACTGCCTGAGCTATAAAACAGCAGGGGAATAATAGCCTTCGAAAATCTGGACTTGTATGTTATTTTCTGAACTTATCATTAATGACAAGCATTTGTCAATTTAAACTGGTATTTCAACATTGAGCCAGTCTTCTGATTTGTATTCATAATGGTGAAAACACCAAAAATAGCAAAGTTCTGTGCATGTATCTTGCATTCAACTTAGTATTGACTACAACCTATCTTGATTTGTTTCTAAGTATCAAATTTTCCTCTTTGTTTTCATTAGGTAATAAGTACCTAAGCTAAGCTATCTTCTGTCACTACTTGAATACGGACAGTGTTCAGCAGAAACCAAGCAACATACCCTATGCTGGACTAAGATAAAAAAAAGGGTCCTCAGATACCAGTTCTAAATAAAACCATCATTAAGAAAGACAGGAAGAATCTCAGACTTTGGTCACCTATCAACTAGGATACACAGCAGAACTCTGATCACATACCAACTCTCTAGACTAACTTAGTTACTTCCTTTCAATCATAGCCTCAGAATAAGATTTTTAAATTATTATAATTACTGTTTTGCTATATTAGTTTCAAAAGTTACAAAGCCCTACTTTTCTTCTTTTCCTTGTCCATTCCTTGCTCTCTCTCCTATGAGAGAGAAAAGTAAGTTTAGAAATAGGATGGAGACTGTTGCAATGGAGTTGGGTAGGGCACAGTTTGCATTTTAAAACCCTAGATTTAGATGCCAAAGCTCTCCTGCCTAAATTTAGTTATTTCAGTATTAGTTTAAATCACTCTTTAGCATCCATCACCTACTGATTAGGTTCAATCACAATGATTAGAAACTTGGACAGCAAGTCACACATAGACTGCAATCGCTTACATGCAGAAGCCTGGATCTGGACTTGACAAATTTGTCTGTACTTAACTGCTCTGTGTCTGTAGAATAAAACTCCACATATGGGAGAGTTGAGCTTTGACACACCACCCCAGTGAGACAACAGTAAAGAAAATAAATATGTTCTAATACAGCATAGCTGGTATGAAAGCTCAGGGAAATACCAAAACCACCATATGTCAAGGTTCAAAACATGAAAAAGTTTGTGAACTAAATATATTTAGTCAAGTCTGCAATTTAATCAAACTGCGAAGCAGTAAGTCCAGTAAGGAATTGTAAGAACTATTACCATACCAACCTTTGATATGTATTGGACGCTTCTGAGCAAATCATACTCTCCTTTCTTCTTCCACACTCACACTGAAGATCAACCTGCCATATCACACAAGTAAGCAGCTTTTTAAAGTTTTGTCTTTTTATGGTCATGGAGGGATGTGAAGGATATAAATTTATTCATTTTAGAAGTCCCATTTTAGTGGAATAATGTCTAACTAAAAGTGATGAATAGTTTTATTTTTAAAAAAATCAGTATTTTAGGTTTGCAGAAAAAATGGCATGCTATCAATATACAAATATGTCACAACTGTTACTGGCTGATAATTAAACCCTACAATTCACCTTTGACTTGGCACTGAACTTTCTTTGGGTGTCTAACCTTTGCAGAGCAGGATGTTGTTGGGCAGGGTGAAGAAGGATGACATGGAGCCATACACGGATGATTACAATATAGCCTTGGAATAATACATGGCTGTTTACACTCTTCATCTATAAGACATTCTCCTTTATGACAGATTCTTTTACATTTGTGCATTCCACACTTCAACATTTGATTGCAGCGAAGTCCACAGGAAATGTCAGTGAGATGACAAGGAATATTACTTCGCAGCTGAGAGAGGAAAGGAACAAGATGACAACAGTAATAATTATCAATGGAAATCTCAAAGTGCTGTTACTGTTCACACCTTCATTTGGCACTGTCCATGTAAGAATCCTATTACTAAAAGATCTTAGGTCAAAGAATGAGTTTTGTTTTATACTATAGTCCAATACAGCAGCTGGTTTGAATGCATATGGAACAAAAGATCTACCTCTTGAATTTAATCACAATAAATTCCAACTCCAGTAACATATTCCATTTCGAAGAAGACACAAAAATCTACAAAAAAGCCTACAGTCCTAAAAGACTGTTTAGTATTCAAAAACATTAATTGTCCAGACTTACCTCATGCTTGCCCATACACCATTTCTGAGTGAGATAGGTACAGGGGGGACATTTCTCCTCACTATGACATGAATGGTACACTGCAGTCACAGAAATATAAAAGTCATAACAGTTTTATTAGCATACTTCAGTTGAATACATTAAAGGAGACAGTAAAGACTATTAAACATGAGTGTGCATTTCAAAACTATACAATTTATGGGAAGGATGATGCATTATAAAAGAACAACGTGTTCTTTAAAGATTATGATTCCAAGTGTTTAGGTAAATGTTCTCTACATAAATTAAATAGCAGGCAATTTTCTAACTTATGAATAGGGTTATACTCCCAGGCAAAATCTGTCAGAAATTGATTGACCCATGCTCTTCATTTTGTGATCAGCCAATGTAATTCCAAGGAACACAGAAATTAACTGTTCACTGGATTATTTTACCACTTCAATAGAGCACTTGATCTTTGGAATACAGCATTTAATGTACTGTGACTAATAAGAAAAAATGCCAGTGCTTTTACCAGTGAGAAGTACCCCTAGTAGTATTCATTGCAAGTTTTAAAAGGTTGGCTTCTAAGTGTAGACCCATTGATATATATTTTCAGATAAACCTATATGGACTCCTCTTCATTTGGATTAAAAGAACTCCAAATGAAAAAAAACAAAACAAAACCGACCACACAACAAAACCAACCAACCAAAAAAAACAAACAAACAACAAAAATACACCCCCATCAAAACTAAATGGCTTGACTTACCTGGATGATCACAGTCATGTGGCCTAGTGCATGTCTTTTTACACTCTGGTGGCTGAGTGCCACAGGGAACAGGGGGGTAAATCACAGATTCACCACAATAACAAGTTAACTCATCAAAACCTGCAAAAAGAAAAGTCAAATGTATCCTAATGGCTACATCTATTTGCATGTTTCCTCTGTGAGAAATCTTTACATAATGTGCAAATGTTTTACTCCAGCTTCATTTTTTTAATATTAAGCCCTAATACTTGAAATTAGTGAATTAATTAGGTCTTGTGGCTCCTACAAGAAAACATCCAATGATGACTTGTTTAGGAATTATGCTTTGCTTATAGAGTGGTTCTTTCACATGAATGTTTGAACCAGAGCAAGCAAAATGCTCATATCAAGTTGAAAGCTTTGCTGTTCTACCTTTGACTTTAAAAAGGGGAGGTATCTCTTGAATTCCCTTCCAGAAGGCCCATCATCGAAATTTTGTGTCCCAAATTTCCCAACATTACTTTTTCAGACAAGTGTTTAGATTTTGTCATTTTGCTAAGCCCTGAATATAGTACCGTGAAGATTCCAAAGAAAATTACCAAAAGACAGCAAGTCTTCTTTATGGTATTTATTATTACATGGATCCTCATAAGCATCTTATTAATCTGTCCAAATACTTCAAACCAACTTTTGCATCTTTTGGAGGTTCTCTGTCTCAGGCAGTACCCATTTTACTCTGAGTTCATTTTTTTTATCTTCTATGTGTGGGAAACAAACACAGATCTTACAGAATCTAAATCCTAGTGATAAACAAAGTAATAGAAGAGAAGTACTTACATAACATCACCCCAATGCAAACACTGCACAAAAATTAATACAATCCACTGCTTTTTTTCAGACTATAAAAAAACTGGCAGACTGACTAGAATGCAAACTACAGTTCAAACACATAAATGCTTGGAAAAACAGAACACTAAGAAAACATTTGACATACAAAAGGAGATCTGAGAACAAAAAGAGAAAATGACTGGTCTACAAACAAATAACGAGGTAGCGGATCAGGGAAAACAGCAGAAAATGGCGGAGAAAGAGAATAAAGGGGCAACAAAAATACACACCAACACAATTTTAACCTGAAAAGAAGATGAGTGTTAAGGGACCCCCTGAATTCAGCAAGTTCTCTAACTCCAACTCTGGAATCACAGGATCTTTCCTTCCTAGTTTCCCAAAGCAAAACCTGTTGAACTCTGAACATCCAAATGTTCCTACTGTCCCACTTCTGTAGATACTGATGGCTGGTAGATGAATATGCAGGTCCAGCCTAGGGCAGGACTGAACACACATTTCAGAGAGACGAGGCACACAAACACACATAGCAATAACATGATCAGATACACAGACTAACACAAAGCAAACTGAATAACAAGACTCAAGTAAAGAGGAATAGCAATAGCTAAAATCCTCTTCCTTCTATTCAGCTCATCAGAACTGAAGCCTCTTAGTGAAGACACCCCCACACACCCACAAACAATTCACTCCAAATTCACGTGCACACCACATTAATGAATCTGAAATACTAGCCCAGGCTCTGTCTAATATCCATGCCTGGACAGACTCCTTTCCCAGGCACTGGCTGAAACCTTGGATTTCCAGAATTTCTGGAATTTCCAGAGGAAGATCTTCTCCAACTAGCTAATCAACCCAGCTTTGAAGCAAGCTTGTTTGAAAATGGCACACAATCCTCATCCTTCCATGTGCTGCCACCCAGATCAAGGGGTCCTTATAACTTAAGATCCCATTCTCCAGCTGTATACACAGGATACATCAAACTGGTCTCTCAGTTGCTAGCATAAAGACTATGTGCTCCCATGATGTGCAGCCAAGCCTCCAGCTGCTGGCACTCAAGAACTCTCACATGCTGAACAGAGAATGAGACTACACTGAAAGATACTAACTCTTAACTATGACAGGATAGACAGCAGCCATGAGGTGCACACATATCTAGCTCTATCAGAGATATAAGTAAGCTGACCAACAGCTTCAATTATGAAAATGGTGTCTTTTTATTTTGCCTTCACTCCATTAGTCCATGCATCCACCTTGATTCCTGCCAAATAATCTAACAAAATAATTTTTTCCCCATTAAAGTGACTTGAACATGGCTGGAGGCCCTGCACTCACCAAAGCTGCTCTCTCACTCCCTTCCACAGACAGGAGAAAGAAAATATAATGACTTGAGATAAGGACCAGAAGAGGTCAGTCACCAAATACCATCATGGGTAAAACAGACTCAGCTTGAGGATACTGAGTTTATTTCTAAAATCAGAGCAGGATACTGAGAAGCAAAATATATCTCAACAACACTTTTCCCCCATCCCTCCCTCTTTCCAAGGCTCTATCTCCTGCCCCCAGTGCTGCAGGGGTCAGAGAATGGGGCAGTTGATCACACATTGTCCCTGTTGCTTCTCAGGGAGAAGAGTCCTTCCTTGCTCCAGACGCTCCCTCCCATGTGGAGCTCTCCATGAACTTCTCCAGCCTGAGTCTGTCCCTCATGCAACTGTTCTCCACAAACTGCTCCAGTATAGGTCACTGTTCCAAAGGGTGCTGCCCTTCAGTCAAAGCCTGCTCCAATGTGGGTTCCCCCAGAGAGTCACAGGTCCTACCAGGAAACCTGCTTTAGTGCAAGCTCACCTCTCCACAGGTCTGCAGGTCCCTGCCAGGAGCTTGTTCCAGCACAGGACTCCCACCAGCTCTCAGCCTCTTTCAGGCACCCACCTGCTCCAGTGTGGGGCTCCTCTGTGGGCTGCAGGTGGACCTCTGTATCCCTGTTGACCTCCATGGGCTGTAGGGGCACAGCTGCTTCACCATGGTCTTCCCCAACAGTTGCTCTGCTTCAGCACCTGAGTACCTCCTCCCCCTCCTTTTTTACTGATCTTAAGTGATCAGTGCATAGTTGCCCCCTCTCCTCTCTGGAAGCAATTACATCTGTTCAATAACTATTTTTACCTCTGAAATATGTCATCTCAGAGGTGTTACTGTTATTCCTGATTGGTTTAACCTTGGCCAGTGGTGGATCCATCTTAGAACCAGATGGCATTGACTCTGCTGGACATTGGGGAAGCTTCTAGCAGCTTTGCACAGAAGCCAATTCTGTAGCCTCTTACTTCCAAAACCTGGATGCAAACCCAGTACAGCCACTGGTCCCTGTTCAGCTACATCTATACCCAAATCTGCTATTTCTGATATTATTAGTATGGTTATACCAGCATCACACAACTACCAGAGCTCTGTTGGCCTTGAGAAATTCCACTCCCAAAAAGGTTCCCTATACCTCACTCCTTCACAATTACTTGTGGAGCTCAGACATCTCTCATCCTTATGGGTGAGGAACAGATGTGAAGTTTCCTATCTGAAACTTATTTCAGCTTTTCCATGTTTTTTGTAATGTTCAGATAATAAAAAATAACCAGACTCGAGAAATTTCTGTTCCATCAGTTAAATCTCAGGCCAGATCCTACTCACTTGCCCATATATCTTCAAGTACAGCAGTTAGTAAAAAGAAATGTAATTTTTGCCTAAGGAGACTAAATTACAATAAATTACAGCAAATAAGAATGCTAGGGAGAACAAAATGTTACGGGTTAGAAGAAAGAAGTAGAAAGCAAAAGTAGAAAGATTCCTTCCCATGGAAAGGAAGCATGGGAAAGAGTAGTGCTTTGTTTTCCCTAACTACAGGTCTTGAAACAACATATAATACTCTATGCTTCAAAGCTACCAATCTTCCTTAGTGCAGGAAGATGAAAGACTAGACACTCCGGAAGACCTAAATGTTAGACAGCTACAGCAGTTGCTTGCTATTGATGAGAAATTAGAAGTGAAGAATCTCATAATAAGAAATTCCTCATTTGCAGTAATCAGGATAATGGGGACAGAGTGCAGAGAGGTCTGATACAAAGGGCACAAATACAGTATCTGAAAGCCTTTTTTTTTTTTTTTAATTATTTCTTAAATGCACGGTCTCTAATGCTGACATTGTTTATTTTCCTCAAGAGATGTATTCCTGTCTTGAGCTAGACTGTGTATGCATAAAGAGACCCAGGCACAGAAAGGGACCACGCTTATCAGCACTGAGGAAATTACACTGGTAAAGTACTTGAGAAGCACACAGAGGTGTACATGCGGTCTAGACTGCACCATGATGTCAGCCCTCACCATTCCTAGCAAAAACAGCAGTGGAGATGAAAGCAGTGGCAAGAAATCCAATCTAATGAGTAGGTGAATGACTTAAAGCTGACCATACCATGGCATTTGATACCATGGCTGATACAAACCAGCTGCAAAGTGCTGGTGAGACAGGTGAATCACAGTCAAGAGTGGCCTTCTGACTGCTGAAAAGGACTCACCATCAACTACAGGGTCAGAATCATATTGAATCATACAATGTATACCTCTGAAATCTCAACAAGCAGCATCCAGGAAAACCAGGTAAGGAGTCTTTAAAGATACTGCTTAGTTGATTTACTTCTAGACACATTCAGAATGGGAAACTTCAGGGACACAAAGATTTAAGCCAAATTACCATAAAAATCTGGTTCCTGAAGTAGGTAACTGCTTGTCCTGTATTCAGAAAAAATTCAGCAGGGAACACTGACCTCTAGATTCTATCACATTCAACAGTGAAGCAATTTACAATGGAGACATCCCATTCAACAATGGAGGCAATCCTTAGGTCTCCTTTAATCTGAGAGTGAAATACAATCCTCAAAAATACTGCAGCAATGTGGAGAAATTTAATGACCTTAAATAGTAAACCCAGAATTCAGGGAAGAAAAACAACTGCTGAGAAAAATCCATGCATTCTGACTCAACTAGACCAGAAGTTACTAACAGGACTTCTGAGACATTAAGATTACTATTTTGTTTGGTCAAGAGAAGTGCCTGGACACAGAAGTATTTATTTTTCTCATGAGAGATACAGTCAGACTCATCATATTCATAGGCTATTAAGACAGACTACAATGCTGTTTCAAGCACAGTGAGCTTCAGAGGCTCTAACACCTTCTCTTTTCCAGGATGCTTCCATGAAAAGTTGGTCTCCATAAAATGGAGGTCTTTGACCATGTGCATGTAATATAGGAGAGACACATGTACTACTGCAGCTAAGGCACTTGGAGCTGTAAACAGTATCCTTACAATCTACATCACCTTTCTCCTTTTATTAGTGTGAAACAGATGACATTAACTGGGGAGAGTCAGATAAAGACATTAATGTATTCCTAGAACAAATAACAATTACACATTTTTGCACATAACTCACTTGTTTGCCAGCATGTTTGACAACTTCCCCGATGACAGGGTTCTTCACATCTGTGAAGCCCACAGTTGAGTTTACGACCACAAACCAAAGAGCACTTATGTTCTGTGTCCTAAGAGACAGCAAAAAAGAAAAAGCAGAATTGAACTATAAACCGTATTTTTTTTCTTTTTCTCTTTGAGGTTCCAATCTACTTCTAACAATAGATTGACAAAACTGTACAGGGCAAAAAATAGCTTAGGCCAAATTTATACAGTTTTTCTATCATTGTATGGATACACAAATTTGGAAGCAGATTCTGTTAGGACTTCTGTTACAGACACAGCTACAAGGTTTATGCTTCTTCTATTAAGTAACATGCTTTCCCTCTGCATTCTCCCTGGAATCACTGCTTTGACAAAAAGCACCTTTACACTGACTTAACTGTATTTAGGCTGAAATGTGGTTTTACATTTATAATAATACATATAAAACAAAATTTGCAAAATAAATGTGCACATAAACTTTTTGAGCACGACCAACACAGCAAATAGAGAATGAAGATGCACAGAAATGGAAAGACACAAAAGAAAAAAAGACTGTTAACGGTAACTTTTCACCCAGTGATTTAAAAAAACTTTCTAATCTACACACTTACACTTTTAGCTTTTTCTATCTAACTTTAACATTTGTTTTCATGTATCACCATGAAAACATGCTCATGAATTTCATATTATATGAAATTCAATGTTTTTCTAGATCTTATAACTAAGTATCAGAAACAAGGGCACACACTGTATTCCAGACTCCTACATTTGCCCCTCTCTTTAAAAAAAAAAAAAAAAAAAAATCAACCCGAACCTTTTCTTTGATTAGTTTTCAAGGGTTATTTTTCCTTCACTCATGCCCTATGCATCAACAACAGAACTGCTGCCCTGTTCTACAGAGCGCTCTGCCTCCAGTTTTGAACATCAGTTAACTAACTACTCAAAGCCAGAGAAATAGATCTAGGTTGCTTACTTAACCAGTAGCTTAATTTGTCTAATTGCTTTAAAGTTTCTGCTGAAGCTACTTGAATTGAAAGCTGAGCTGTTATAAATATCTATCTGAAATTTTATGAGTCAAACTCTTCAAAATCAGGTGTGACTAAGATTGATATAAGGTTACACTAAGATGTTGCCTCTTTGTATAGAGCATGATTTGGAGTACGATTCATTATCTCATCTTCATTCTGTTTTAACACAGAAAAATTGGATATTATACAAAAATCTATTTTCACTGAGAAAAGGTATAAGGAGTTTTTGTAGCACAAACACAGGGCACCATTTGTAACTTTTCTCTAAAAAAATCCTTTCTCTGTTTCTCTGTTTTGGTTGCATCTCTTCTGTATTTTTCTTTTTATTCTTGGATTTCTCAGCTTCCTTTGGACTGAATTCTTTTGGGATCCTCCCTCGTGGGAAGCCCTGCTTATCTCAGTTCTTATGATTCAAAGAAAACTCTCGAGCTCGTTAGAATCTTGTTTCTCATGTTTATTAACAGGTCATCACAAAACTTAACAGGTCTTTCCAGGCTGGCTACACAAGGTTAATCTTTGCAATTTGGTACATTTCTTTCTTCTGATGGTACAAACAAGGCCTTGTGGCACACTTCGTGTCTGATGCACAAAATGGCCCCGAACTACGCAGTTCTTTTATCTTTATACCTATTTTTACCCAATTAACAATAGACACATATATTATTTTTCTTAATGACCCAATGATCCATCACCTGTGTGCTGCACTGCGGCATTTGCTACCCAATCACTTACTATTACTCAAAAACCTCTAGGAGAAGAACATGAAGAAGAAAGAAGGGACAAGAGACAACACCCTAAATCCTCTATCTTGACTCCTGTTCTCTAAACTAGCTTTTTCACCCAGTGATTTAAAAAAACTTTCTAATATACACACTTACACTTTTAGCTTTTTCTATCTAACTTTAACATTTGTTTTCATGTATCACCACGAAAACATGCTCATGAATTTCATATTATATGAAATTCAGTGTTTTTCTAGATCTTATAACTAAGTATCAGAAACAAGGGCACACACTGTATTCCAGACTCCAACATTAAGACCACAACCAAAATCAAACACACATCATATCAAACAATTTTATAAAACCACTGGTAGACTTACCACACAGCAAACTTCATTACATTTGTGTCGTCCACATGATCTCTTCTTGTTGCATCGCTTGTCACACATGAATGTAATAGCAGCTATTAGAAAAAAAAGAAAAAAGCCCCCCAAAGTCCAAAGAACTTTTAGGTCTTTGCATATGCTGAGAATAAAACCTGCAATCACAGGATTATGCTAAGGGTGTTGCAGGGCACAGTCTAGGAGAAACTAACACAGGGAAATCCAGCAAGCAAACATTTAAATTACTTTTTCTCCCTCACAATTATCCCCATGTGGGCACTTGCCTTTCTTTAAAGAAATCCTTAATCAAAAGGATTTTGGAAAGCAGAATACATTAAGCTAATTTATTTTCCCTTAACCATCACACCATGAACTCCACACAATAAAACGAAGAAAACAGGATATTCTGATACAGTGAAGTAACAGGAACATCCAGTTTAAGACTGCTTAAATTTGTGGGGCAGTAAAAGCCAGCTAAAAACAACTACTGCTGTATCCTCATTAAACTACTGCTAGCAAAGAACATCCTTATTTCCACACAGATAACAAAAGGGAATCACCTCTGGATTCCGTAAGAGCAAAGTCTTCATAGACAAAAGCTCATATTGAAAAATATGCATATTACTTCCTAATATCTTGTAAACAAATACCTCAGCAGACAGGGGTCTAGATTTCACTGAGGGGAATTTTGAGATGTTACATCCAGAATACCAAGAAACATCCAATGTGAACTCTCTGCCATGGTCAGATGCAAAGACCAGCTGCAAAGATCAGCACCATACAACGTGAAGCAGAATCAAAGCTTGTATTTCCCCAGAAACATAGGCAATCTCAGAGCAAAACTACTACACTGAATCTGAGCTGTGCAAGTTGACCAAAAGTTATGATGGGGGAGCAGGAGGGGGATGGCAACCTATTGAATAGGGCAAGTGGCATAAGAAACTGTTCAAAATAAATCAGACACTGTCTGAAATCTTTGAACTCAAACATGAAGTCTTTCTTTATATAAAAGATGAATGAAAACTGAAGATGTTTATTTTAAACCTTTTCCCAAACACAGCAGCATGACCAGTACCACAAATGAGCAGCTGAAATAACCAACTTAGCACAGAAGTACAGATAAAAGATGCCGTACAGATCAGCTGTTTGCCAACTTTGTCAATCAAACCCCGAATTACTATGAGCTTTAATAATTTTTAAACAATTTTATATTACATATGTATCATAACCTTGTACCTTTATTTCTGAGAAGAGCACATGGGATTTCCTAGGAAACAAACAGGGAGCCATTAGATTAAAAGAGATGAAACAACTGAAACATACTTATCTAGAAAACACTTGGACACATGAAAGAAGCACACTCGCCTTCCATCTGTATAACATATATGTATACAAAAGTGAAATAAAAACTGGAAAAAAAGATTCTCAAATCTTTTAACACAATATTTGTTCCTTAAAAATTCAATACCAATTAAAAAAAAAAACGCAGTTTTGTATTCTCCACTTAATTCATTAGAATTTAGTGTCACTGTAAACTGAGAGAATCAGACTTGTCCCAAGAAACCAGAAATCTGTGTAATGGAAACAAATAGAGGTCTCCCAGAGAATACTGACAAAAGTGTATAGATTTGTTCTTTGACCAACTGTCCCAAAACCGCAAGTCTGATGTAAGACAGGAAGAAAGGAAGAAGCCAAATGTTATGATCTACAAAGTTATACATAAAGACTTCAACATGAAAATAAAATGCGATGGACAAAAGTAATGTTGACGTTTGAACCCCTCACCACAATTTTATATTCTAAGCTGTCATTTCTCAGTATCACATTTTGCATAACTGATTTAAATTATCACTGTAGTTCACTCTTTTTAAAGAAGCATCTTGCTGGTGTGTGAGAAACTTCAAAACTAAACCAAACACCTCACTACTTTATTTCGGGATTCAAAATGCAATCTAAAGCCTTCTACCCCATAACTACCTTCAGCAAACTTGTAAAAGAAAGCTGTTCCAACCTCTAGCAAACTCTATAATTTCTTTGCACCTACAGACTTATATATTCAAAAGCCATCTCTCCTTGCAAATGATACATAAGAGGTCAGAAAAGTCATCAAAGCTTCTGTGATAGTAGCCAAAAATTTAAAAGCTATGATTACAGAAAGCAGCATAGCTTAAAAATATAATAATTACTAAAGAACAGCCGAGGATCTGCAGGATCACTATACAAATGTACAAAGAACAGGAAGCAGTAACAACATAGTCTCTGCATAAACTTCTGCAAGGAGACTACACCCTAATACTATAAAGTTTTAATTCGGCTGTCTTTATTCTCTCAGTTTACTCTTGGCAACTCTACCAATTCCTTATGCTAAAAAAATACTCCAGAATAATATAGGATTTTGCAGATTGTTTACACTAACAGAACTCTGTTCAAACTGCCAAAATACTTTAAAAATTGCCTTCATGGTAAAAAGCATGTTACCACTTCACAGTATAAACTAGATACCATCTATCAGTTAGTATACAACATGGGCTCTTGCAACTAAGGAGCACAGCACTTCTTTATGCTTTTTCAGCTCCTTTTTCTGCACAGCTTTAAAAAGCAGTAAAGATTACCTGTCTCTGTGGTTACACACTCACCTTTTTTTTGAAGCCACACCTACAATAAATATTTGATGTGTGAGAACATGGTCTACAGTCTCCTTCATGGCAAAGGCTTTCACATGTATGAATGAACTCTAGAAAAATGAAAATACAAATATTAAGAATAAAAAAAATACTATGACCTGGAACTTCACATTTATTAGGATAAATATGGTCAATGATAGTAAGCTTATGCACAGCTGGGTTTTATTTTCTTGTTTTAAAGCATTATTATGAATAACAGAGCCAGACTGTGGGCTCTGCAGTGGTTTTTACACTTATTTTGGTTAAAACTCGAAATCGCTAATAAAATATTTATTTCTTTAAATTAAACATTTAAAGGCCACATTTTGTTTTGAAAACTATTGATATCAAAGGATTAATCTAAGAATAAAGACTGTGTCCATGTACTTTTAACAAAGAAACAGATGTGCCCTGCTTCCAGAGCGAGGGAAGATGAAGGGAAGATAAAGGGACTGGGTGAGTGAGTACCTCTGGCTTGGGAATGAAATCACAGCCAAAATAAGACCATAAAAAGACTGAACCAGGAGGAGAGTTTTATGGTAATGAGCAATTATAATATGTATTAGATTTCTGTGAACTGTGAAGCATATGTATGCAATTAAGGTATATAAGCAATGTGTTTGCAGAAAATCAGAATGCACACTAGATTAAGCTATCCCCCCTGCAGTGAAGAATGCCTGCTTCTTAATGCTGCACTGGTGTTAAGGAGTTCTATTCACCTGACTTTCAGGGACACTATGACGTACTTCAAATACTCTGATACAGAAATTTCAAATTACCATAGCTACCACAAGAAAGAGGTTTGCCACATGTTTTTCCACATGATGGGATAGGATCTGTGCAAATTTTACGTTCAACACATCCTAGTTCCAGTAACTTGCTGAGAGGAGTCTGACCACAGGGACAACGATATACAACTTGTGGAAGTCGTGGACAGAGCTGGCAAGGCTGAGGATGGCATACTTGCTTACAGTTGTGCCTCCCACAATTTAATTTTCTGGAAAAAAATTCAAGAAACAAAAGAGAAAACAAGAAAAAAATTAAAAGGGGAATTATCTAAGATTATCAAAATAAGTCATTGTGAATAGAAAAAAAACCTCTCTTTTTAAAAGCTCAAGTTATAGTGATCTTACTTGCCACATATATTCTGACATGAGAAACTCCCAAAACCGTCAGAGAATTCTTCCTTTGATCCACACAATACTTCTTTAAAGTTGCTTCCACAGTAACACACTAAAAGAAAGCAATATTTCACAGAAGACAACATAAGAGAATATCATGACAAAACATCTCCAGCAAATATAAAAGGAGTGAAAAATTGTTAGTTAATTTTTAGAAGGATAAAGAAGTTGCTCCTCTTTAGATTTATTTCATCAATGAAAGTTTTTTGTCCTACAGAAGCTGGAATTCCAGCATTATTTGTTTTGATAAAGTGGTACTATTTGCACAAGAAGTTAATTTATTAAAGCAGTATACATTATAAGTTAATTATTACCTTAAAAGTTTAGAAAATTAACTTGCGATTTTCTGTATAAACTGTTCTATAAAGTTATTTATATACTGGCATACCTACTCAGTCAATTTAATTTTCATTCAAGACTAAATTTAGAAAATTTTAATAGAAATCATGAGAAGCTTGTTGAAATGTGCTTTCCTATACCTTTTTCTATTTTCTTCCATGTACTATCTAATTAATTCTTATAATTAAAATAAAAAAGATTCAGTAGGATCAGAGGACAATTCAGGTAAGAAAGGATTAGTTAATCCAAACCCTTACCTAAAGCACAGTCAGCAATGAGATCAGACCACATAATTCAAGTGTTTTATTCAGTTGGTCTTGAAAACCCCAAGAAAAGAGGTTTCCCTTACAGCTAGTAAGACAATTTAAGCTGATTGTCTCTCATCCTTCACATATGTATAGCCTGTCCCTGTCTTCTTAAATTACTTACTAGCTACTGAAAGGTAACTACTCAGCCCTCTCAAGCTGAGGAAGTCCAGTATCACCAGCCTGTCCTAATAAGACACATGCCCCAACAGCCTAATCATCGTAGCAGGATTCTAACAATAGATTCTGATTGTGTTAAATAAAAACTGGCACTTACCTCTTGGTACTGATCTTTCCCCCCCCCTCTTGTTTTCATTGTATAGGGTGGATTTCTGTAAAGGATTTCAGTACTTACCTTGTTGTACTGTTAACTGGCAAGGTGAACATTTTCCTGCATGGCACACTTGAGTACAGCTGTGCTTTCCACAGTTTAAAGTATTTCCACATACATTAGAACAATGAATTTTTGTTGACTGGCCACAGCGAACTGAATGACTGTAGAGAAATGACACCACAGCCTGTCAGCTACCTTGATATCTATACAGTATTTAATAAAAAGAGAAATACATTTTCAATAAAATGCCAAAATCTTAAAAGGCAGCCTAATTTATTAATGGAAGTTTTTAGGAAATAGCACCCCTAGTTTTTCCCTTGCCTCCCCTCTTTCACTTCCCCCAAATAAAACACCTATCAGAGTAATTAGTCTACAGAATTTTTCCTGAAGAAAACAGGGGGAAACATTGCAAGGTGAGGTGGCACTAAAACTTGAACCTAATGTATTAACTCATATATGCATTGTCAGAAAAGCAGTTATTTCCAATACAGACGTCTTTCTGAAGACTTAAACAATCCTAAATTCATTTAAGACAATGAAGACAGGGACAGGGCCTTAACAGTGGGTCAGATGTCTATGAAAATAACTGAGTTTTTAATTATACTGTCCAAAAATGGGACAAAATCAATTCTTCTATTTTTTTCAATCCTAGGAGGCTCACACAATGGCTGTAAAACTCAAAATAGTAGTTTTAAAACATCCTAAAGCTGGTGCTGCCATGCCATATACCCTATATGCTTATACAGTACATATGATATGTACTGCTTCTTTTGAAGCAGGTTTTAAGTATCAAATGTACTATTATAAAAAAGCAGCAATCTGGTGAAGTAGCTGACATCTGGAAGAAAAAAAAAGTTGCTGCATCTATTACACTTTTAAATTAAAGGAGTCAGAAAAACAACAAAACAAAATCCTAACCAAAAAAACCAACCCCTGTAAACAATAAAAGGAGGTAATATTACTATGGAAGATAAAATTCAGTAATCTACAAGCAACCCATTTTTCTGCTGAAGACAAAGTGCTTTTATCTACAAGTACCTTCACAGAAATTGCAGTACCTTCTTCTGAAAAATTAGGATTGTGCAGTATTAGATTCAAACTCTGAGAAATAATTGCAAAAATCTGAAAATGAAATCTTGCTCTGAAACACTGAAATCAGTTTATATTTGTTTTGGTTCTGTAAACAAGCTCAGGCAAACAATTTATTACACAGAATCAGTTGCAAGTAACTAGAAAAAGGAATTCTAAAAACTCAGGCCAAGTGATTAGCAGAGACCACGCATAATATAGGCAGTACCATATTGCTATGGCAATGACACTATATGCACCAAACATGAAAGGAAAAGAGAGCTTTCAAGTCTGGAATACACTATAGACATCTCTGTACAGTTTCTGAGAAAAGCAGATTATTTTTGAATTATTATTTCTGAAATGAAGTAATTTAAGACCTCATTTCATTCATATACAAAAGATGTGAACCTACTTCTACTGAATTTTCTGAGTCTTCTGGCAAATAAAACAAATAAATACTAGTGTGGGATTTAAAAATCAAATCCAAATCAACTCACAGACTGCTCAGACAATTCAGCAACATGTATCATAGATTTACAAGTCTTTTTCGTTATTTTTAGTTTATTTCTTGAAAATTTTCAAGTAACTGCATTTTTTCAAAATATAAAATTCTCCAAATCATTTTAACCCCAAATAAAAGTTTCAGGTCAGATTAAATTTTGTTCAGCATATTTTTAATAAATTATAAGAAAGAAAAAAATGAGTATATAAGATTTTAAACTGTTCTTTTCTTTGTTTATAATAACTAAACTTTTGTTTGCATAGCAGAATCATTCTTACCTTGTTTGTCCACATTCACATGTTTTTGTCACAAAGGCTGGGCACGAAGGGCAAGGTCCTGGGTGGCACAGACTTAGAAGTAAGTTAAAAAAGCAAAGTTAACTTTAGATTTATTACACTTTCAGAGACACAATCCACCATCACCCAACCTCTGTGCATTATCAGAACATTATACAGGACTCACACACTCACTCCTGCATGGTGTGAAAGCAGTCTTAAAACAAGCAAAAAGTATTTGATTATCACAATTGCATCAGTCTCAAAGACAACTAATGTTGAAGGAAAAACTGTATTCCTACTGCTGTCAAAACAATAGTACTACTAACAAATCAACTCTGCTACTGACACGTTTGTTATTTTGCATTTCACCAGCAAACATGCATCAAATTAATTGTGTTCATCATTGATAACACCCAAAACAATCATCTTATGTCCAAACCATTAACATATTTATTTCTTTATTTTATAGTGATCTTAAACACAACAGAGATAGAAACTTCTCTATTAATGTCTTCTTTTGAGCTGATGGTTTTATCTTTGAACACAGCATTTCTAGTGCCACCAGTAAGAGGTGTTGCTCCTCTTCCTGTAAGGTAACATATGGGAGACACAGCAAGTCTACCTCAGTTTTCTTCTTACCATCAACGGCGATTTCCTGTCATCAATTCCAGTCCTTTACATATCAGATCTTACCTCCTACTTCAAGAAACACTAGATGTTCCCTATCTGCATGTAAGACCTTAGTTAGGTACAGACAAGCCCAGGTTTGTGAAATTATACTTAATTATCTTGTCTGCACTCTCCTATAGCCAGCTCCCAGTTCCCTTCACTTGCAAAAACAGCAGCTCTCATTTGGAGCAATTATTGGCCAGGACTGACCAGCACAGACATCCTAGCCGAAAGAAAAAGAAAAAATCCAAAAACATCAGAAAGTCACATAAACACAGACTACCTAGTTACATGGTAACTACTAAATTCCTCAAGGATAGCAACCATACAAGTACTAATTTGTACACCAGTTACTACATTCATACTCAGTATAATTGAGTCATGCCTCCAGCTTGTCAAGAGTGGTATGGCTTCCTTTCTTCCTCTACCACTCCTCCCAGTTGACAATAAGGCCTAATCTATCACTCAATCTATGCCAGCCCTAACAGTAAAGCCAAGGAATTACACAATAAACCAATTCAAAACAATGAAAAATCCCCCATCACATAAAACAAATCCAAAAAACAAACAACCAAAACCACCATAGCCCTCTGCCTTTTGACAGGTCAGTTTTATGACATGGTGAAGAGTTGAAAAAGCACCAAAGCAGGCACAAGGAAAGGGAGAAAAAAAGAAAAACTGTATGGATACACAGTAAAGCAGGAAGAAAGCAAAACCGCTGAATTAATTAAAACTGTACTGTGGAACTTCAGACAATGGGAATTAAAAAGCATTCTGCAACATACAAGAAAACCTATCGCAGAAGAAAACCTCTTGTAAAAGGACTGCACCATATATTTCACTGTCTTGACTTCAACTGACTTCAATTCCTACAGATCCATGTAGGATTCTAAAGGCTGCATGTCGACTTATGAATTTAGGAATCAGATTAAAGTAGACATAAATTCAAAATACTACGATTTCCAGGTCATAACCTGGAAAAGTGAGAAGACATCATCTTCAGAAATCTTCTCATGTTAAGTTTTTTACCTGGTGTATTGTTTCTCTCAACATTCTCATGTAGAAGCAATGCTAAGATTTCTTCCATAACCCCACTCCTAGAACACTTTCTGATGATACACATCACACATATGTGTGATACACATATCACACAACAACAATTTATATTGATCATAAGTATTTTAAAGTTATAAATACCAGCAATAGTAGACTGCAGTTTTACAATAAGTTTCCTTTTGTTAGAACAGTACCACACAGTTAATCTTCAGACATCTCAAAGTTTTGACAATGTGTGTTTCTGAGACCGGTTTCTGACTTCCTGTTAATATGAACAAGGAAATTCTAGTAATGCAAAAACTAATGCTTTGAAAGCAAACTTCTGACTTTTGAAATAAGTATTCTTTATGCATCCCTACAGATACACATGCAAAAGTTTCTGGTACAATTTAGTTTAGGCAGAAGCTCCAATACGGCCACAGTTCTAGGATATACTTGATCCAACAACATATACTTGATACAACAATTGAAATTCAAATTTCATTCAGCACAGAGACATGCACCGGAAGTGCAGAAAATGCTCCTTAAATGATAAAGATGGGTGATACCTTTAGAGTTTTACTCCTGGTTTAGGGGATTAAGCAAAAAGCTAAGTTAAATGATTTGACAGTGTTGCAAACTAAACTCAAAAAGACAGGCTGAAGACATCAGTATTAACTTCTGTTTGGTGAATGCAGAAGTTTTTTTCAACTGCAACTTCATTATCTATCATTAGCATAGAGGATTATCTGCAGCTTACTGCTGCTGCTCTAGAGAACTAGTGTGCTAGAAAATTTGTGAAGATAGATACATCTAAACTGAAGAAAAATTAAGCTTCCATTTGCTGGACAGTGAAAATACTAGATACTGCAACAGAGCAAGAAAGAGACTTCTACTGCTGTAGGAAAGATTACAGCACCAAAGATCTATGAAGGAAGTCCATCTACTAAAATTTAAATAGAAAATTGCATTTACTGCCTTTTTAAGACCTCTTTCAAATGCTCTCAAGGGCTTGCATAGTTCCAGTTGGCAGGGAGAATTTCAGAGTCTTAAAAGTTTTGCTCTGTCATGAAGTTTATTATCAGGAACATTTTATTGAAGGTTAAGCTAAATGTTTCTTTGATGTAGAACCTAACACTGCAAAAGCAATTTCAGTGTTTTTAAACTAAAAATGTGAAGAGAACTCACCTTGAGAAGTGCTATACATGTCACAGCACAACATTCCCCTTTCAAACAGATGCTTGCCTGTTCCTCAGCTCTGCCAAATTGGCTCTTTATATAAATGGTTACCATTTCAACAAATTTGAGTAAATACTAGATTTATTACTAAATCATTTTATGTGCTCAGACTTGAGCAGCAGGCTTACTTCCAGATGGTTCCTTAGCACTGTGTGGCTAACACCATTAGTATTATTTAGCTAAAAATAGATGACTAAGAGCTTATGCTCACTGTTTAATACCAAACCGCCTTCTTTAGAAACTTTCACATAATCTTGTGCAGTTGTCTGCAAGAAATGTATAATTTTAAGAAATTTTCCCAACTGACATGAATAGAGGCTTGGTTGTTGGGTATTTTAGGGGAAAACCCTCCCAGCCAACCCTGGGATCCGGCCAAGCCCTGGCCCTGGCTGGTCAGGAAGTGTGCCATCAGATTCAGATGTTTCTGTGCTAAAAACATAATCAAATCACTCTGACTTGCTGATATGGGCCTATAAAAGCTTTTGGACCCACTTTTGGGGCAAATTTGGAGACCTCACCTACGGGTGGACTCACCACATAGGATTTTCCAAATCGCGGGGAAGGGCTCCCCAGAGTCCTCACTGCAAAATGGGGCTTCCCAGCGACTGCGGACTCTGGATGATGGTAAAGTATTTAGGCAATTGGTGATGTATTGATCTTTCTCAATCACTATCCTTTCTCACATATAGTAATGACTAGGTGCGTTACCTTGCTTATTTTTGCTTGTTGCTAAAACCAAGCATGTAGTTTTATTAAATGTATAATTTTACTTTTGTGTTACCTTAATATTCATTGTAAAATAAGAAGACCATTCTTTCCATTGATGTCTATGTCCTTTAAATCGCTCCCATCAATTGGCAGAACACCAGTGTAAATTACCTTTACTAATTTTCACCAGAGTGGAGTGTGGTGTTGAAAAGGAAAAACAAAACCATTTTTAAGATATCTGCAAACAGATATCAGATATCAAAAACAGTTCTGGTTCAAACCTTATCACTTTATGGGAACATGTGAGAGGAGGGGAAAACGGCACCCAGGAAATCCACAATCCAAATAAAAAAATGCTTGCAAGAAAAAGTTCTGAGATCGTCTAAATTTAAGCAAGAATCATGAAATAAATTCCTGCCCCAGATGGCGACATCTAACCTTGAGCACTCTCTTCAAGAAAATCTCTGCCCCGACATAGACGCTCAGATAATCCACTTATCATCTGCATTAAAATAATAAAGCTCTGCATTTTTAACTCCACCACTGATACAGCAAGACAGAACAAAGTTTCTACTTGCCTTTTGATACAGCAGATGTGTCCTCACAAATACCAAAGATTCCCATATGGGAGAAAGAAGAGTCCAAAATATACTGAGCAATGTCCAAAACTGAGTAACGCTAATATTGAAAATGCATTCCTCTCCAGTTCACTATCGTAAGTTGGAGACTATCAAGAACATCTATTATCTTGATCTGCATGCCTACTGCTGCCTTACCTCCAGGCCTGGATGATCTCATCATTCAAGTGAAACAAAGATGAATGGTAACATTTTTAAATATGCTACAACTGGCCACAAATTTGAACTCAATTTTCACAGCTTTTATGCAGATCAGACTTTAAGAGACTAAGAATTTGTAGTGCCTCCAACGTCATAATATTGGTCACTACTCTTCAGAAGACTTCTAGAAAAGAATGCCAAAGACTGAGCCTCTGCAGTAGACTAGGACAGGAAAGAAGAGAACAACATCTGCTTCCAAGCCCTACACGAAAGTTTTTCAGGCAACAAATTGCAGTTAGGGAGTTCTCAAAGTGATTAAGAAGTCTGCTTATTTCTGACCAGGCAAAAGACATGTCCACGAACATATGCCTCTCCTGAGATGGAGGCTTACAGCTGGTCTCAAAGAGAATCAGTGTTCTGTTCAGGGTAACAGCTTCACCAAGTGTAGTCTGAAAGTCAATCTGACCTAGCATGATTCTATAAATTCAGAAAACAGCTATGATACTTAAATGAAATACAATGCAAATCTGTGCGCATAAATACATGATGCATAAATATAAATTAAATCTAATATCAAAAAGAAATCTAATATAACATTTTCATGTATGGGAAAGAAGTATTACAGAATTATTCTGACATTCAATAAAATGTTGAAATATATTTCAAACAGAACACATTAAATACAAAGTTCAGAGTAAAGTTCTAGTAAAGTTCCAAGCTTTAGCAAATCTTGGAAAAAGTGCCAGACAACAATTTATTTATTGGAACGACTGAAGTTTTTGAGTCTGTACCAAGAGGAGAAATAATTGCTTCAATCAAAAATTTCCAAACCCAGAAATATGAATAAATGTTAAGCACCAACTTCCATGGGAATCGAAGCTAGATACAATAGCAACAACATATAATTTATGATTCTAACAAGCATATTTATACATTGAAAATGATCATATAATTGTGTTAATCTTAGCAATGCTACTAAAAAAAAAATTCAATGTAAAACATCCAGAATTGAAAACAGACGTGCTCTCCTTTGCATCACTTCACTGAATTCTATTAATAAAATGGTAGCAAAACCAACCTGAATTACAATTACTGATTAAAATCTTCAAAGGGATTCTGGTTAAACTATCTGATGGTCTCAACAAATAAATACAAATGCCCTTTTATCCTCAGCAGTTTACAAGCCAAAAAAAAAAAAAAAAAGACACAAAGGCAAGAAGTGGTCTTTCAGTTTAAGCAAGTAGCACAAATCTCAAATTAAGATATTTAAACACTTTTACATGAATAACAGCACCTAAAAAATCTGGTGGACCACTGGACATGTTCAGAGTTACCTTCAGACACTACAATATGATATTTCTCTACTTCAATGAAAATTCTTGAAACTAAGTCAGACAGCTGGTTCAGTTCCTAAAACATGACAGAAATGTTGCTACAACTATTGTAGAGCTCCTGTTCATGCTCTTGTATGAACTCACTTTAGACATACCAACACAAATAGCCATCAGGCTTTTCATTTCTTTCAGGCTTCAGCTGAACTATAAACCTCTATAGGTTCCAAGTTTCTAAGCATATCCTGGAGTCAAAAAATAAGCCAATACAATCTTCAGAAATTTTTTCTTAATCATTTCAATGCTTGTATAATAAACCTTTACTTACATGTTACAGAGATGTGGACAGTCCAAACATTGCCTCCTCTTTCCACAAAGTTCCCCACAGCTATGTGGGATTTCATTTCTATTCCATTCAGGATTGTGCACCTTACCTAAACCACGTGAAAGACAAAAAGGTATTTATTGCTTTGAATAGCAGACTGCCTTTGTGAAAAATATAATACCAAAGAGAAAAAGTGGCATTTTAAATACTGGCAAGTAGTCTTCTTTGACAAAATCATTACAAAAATGTTTATGTTTTTCTGTACTGATACATACTCAACTTCTTTCAAAGTATTTACCATTGGAATAGCAAGCTCCAGAATATTCTTTCCTCTGTACTCTCAATCAGCAGGCATGCAGGTAGCTGGTAAATTAAATTAAACTGATAAAATACATGAAAACTAAAAGCCCCCTGTAGTTGGTCAGGCTGCACAGTAGCTAAGAAAACTGAAGGGTGAAACTCCCTTGCAGTCTCAATGCAGCAGGGAGGGGAAAAAAAAATGTAATAAAGTAAAAAGATAACAATCCTTTAAAAAAGTAAGATCTACCAGGTACGGTGATGGAGAATAGGGAATTAAATGAGTGGGCAAGTTATGAAAGTCACTTCTATAAAAAGAAGCAGACTCTACATTAATCTAAATATTAAAGGTTCATGAATTTTGATGAATGAAGCAGAAGTCTTAAACAAGAAGTACGTTAGCTTCAGTTATTCTGTATTTCAGAGAAGCACTAAACCATATTTTTATTAATCTGAGATATTATCAACAGATCTCATAGCTCTAAGTGCATGAGATGGTCATCAGGGTTAAGGTTAATTGCCATCATGAACACTCTCTTGGCTCTCTACAAGAGAGGAATTAAATTAACAGTGAAGCAACAGAGCCAATGTTACAACTTTGAGTTGTGACAATCAAAAGCAGGAGGAAAATGTACTTTTGGTGACATAGTTACATAATTTTAATTTCTTTAATATACCTTTGTACATTCTACCAGTTTTAAGTTAGGAAAATATGAATAAATGCTACAGATAGCATTTATTCACCTGAGTTTCAATTAAACAAATTGAATACTCAGGAAAGTCCTAAAAATCTGAAGCTTCAGAAGAAAAATAAGCTAGGAATTTCCTCATGGGTGAAAGGGTGGTTGGCATCAAATAGAAGGTATCTTTGCATAAGTGACTGATGATGTCCAAATTATATATAATTAATGTAAAATTGTCTACAGAAGATTAAACTCTTATGTTAATGGTGCTCTTCGAGTAATAATTCTGCAGACAATTTAACGTTCTTACTGTAGATCTCCTAAACCATGAAACTGCCTTTAGACTCAGGAGAATTTCTTCCCTATCTAACAGACAGAAGACTGTCTTAAAAAGTCTAATTTTCATTCATGGTCAGTTCGTTCTGACTGAATTATTTTCCCTAATAACTCAATTATTACCCCTACATTTCTAAGATTTCACACATTGCTATACAAAAACTCTGTCTTAACTGCATTGCACTGTTTGTAACTGATTCACTGACACATTTAGATAAAAAGATAGAACTCTCCTATTTTAGCAAATCTAGCTTATTTAGGGCAAGTTTATGGACACAGCTTCTGTCTCAACTTCAGAACACTGTTTTCTAGAAAGTGAGGTGAAAGTTTCCAGTGACGCAGATTTAAGGAAAAGAAAGCTATGTAAAAACAATACAGATCACAGAAGTATAGATTCCAAACAAAACTTATTCACATCTGTGCAATTAAGTACTATAATTCATTTCTCCTTTTTGTTTTGTATTTATGGCGTGGTGAGTGTTGTGCTCATGCCATTTACCTTTTTTATTAAATCCATATCTACACAGAGGTCTGAAAAGCCCAAATATTTCTTCCTATTGAAGCTCCATGTGTTCCTGAGCAACATAAATCATGAAATTGCTAGATCAATTTAAAGTTTTAGGTAGTTGTATCCTTGAATTGTGTATTATTTTGGTGTATCTTGCCATGAAGACAGACATAACACATGCAGGTTATTCCATTCCTTCAACAGAAGGAAAGCTCAAAAGATAACAGCCAAAATCTATCATTATTCCATAAAAATCACTATTTTTTACACAATGCTGTGGAAGAATTTACCACTTGGGGCTTAGTATTTTCTCTTTCTTTTTCAAGCAGCACATGTATGATTTTCTGTGCAGCCACCTTCCAGTGTCAATGAAATTTTTAAAAATTGAGCTTTAGGCATGTAAGCAAACGAGCACCAATAACAAAATCCATATTAACAAAAAAGAATCAAAATGACAAAACTGTTTTTCTTTCCAAAAGTAAGTGAGAAACTCACCACAAAAACAAGTGTAAGTTTTAGGAACCTGCACAGAAGCATTCTGACAAGCTGGACATCTCCAACCGCTATTGCCATCTGTAGATAAAGAAAAGATAAAAAGGACTTGAAGTAAATAAAAGACTAATCTGCAAGCCTAGAATAAGTTGTTCTACTTTGTTTCTTACCACAGATGCAAATAAATCAGTATTTCCACATATTCAGAAGTGGTGAGAAAACACATTAATAAAAATAAATTTTATACAGTATTGACAAACAGAGCGATGGTATTTCATTTCAACAAGCTATAACATTTTATTGAAGTAAAGCCAGATTTTAAACTTCCAATTTTTCTATTATCATATACCCTAATGCTAGAATATAGACAGTCTTCATCATATCTAAACCTGTGAGAAAAAAAAGTGTTAAGAGAGGGAAACTGGTGAGGAAAACATCACACAAAGCACCACCTGTACTTTCTTTTCACTATCCTCACATGAATTTATGTGTTTTGTAGAAGACCAATTTAGTGTTGCCTCACATGCACAATAAACCACTGTTATATAAACGAGAATAACCTAATTCATTAATTTACAGTTGATAATAGCTAGATATTGACTAGGACATTATTCTTCAAGTTGCTGTTTTATTAAATAGTGGTTTTCTTGCTTCCGTGTTTCAGGACAGTGCTGGTTAGCAGTAAAGAAAGAACGGTAAAGTGGAAGAAAAACGACATTAGTGAAGACTTTTCCCCAATTCAATACACATCTTGCTATTAAGAATATGAAACTGAGAGCACTACCGACCACAAAAAGGGTCATAGACAAGAGAGATACGTTTTTATATCTATATATAGATATTAAAAAGAAAAAAAAACGATTAACTTTCTCTCTTAACTTAATCAGTTCAGTGCTAATAAAATTAATAAAACTTTAATTTCAGAACTATTCTTCACTATTAAGAAATCTGACCAAGATTCACAATAATTTCATGTTACAAAAGCAGAAGGGATTGTAGACAGGAAACTCAACTTATGACAAGACAACTGCAGTGCAACAAGAGGCACACCTCGGTTCACCTTCAATTGGGTTGAACAACTTATGTTACCTATCATAATGTACAATGGAAATTATTTTCACAAATTGAAATTATCCAAATTACAGATTGCCTTTACAGTGTAGAAATGCAAACCTAATGCATGCCTGTTCTTTCTAACACTTCATGCCTATTCATACCCCTCTTTATCCTGGCTCATATTACTGTGCCACCAAGATTGCTGCAGAGATCTGCATGATTATGGGCTGAGCAGCTCCAGGACAGTGGCACAAGGCATATACTCTCACATTCATGGTCAAGACCAATCTGCATTTCCTGACTGAGACTTTTTTTTCTTTTGACTGCTAGAAACTGAAGGATCTCAGATGAAGCAACTCAGGGTGAAGTGTTGAAAGTTACAGGCAAAAACTGGCAGTAGACAACTAAAAGGCGTATTTGCTGACAAAACTCTAAGTACTTTATGTGGCTCCTCCTAAAACCAGCATACTAAATACTACAGAATTCCTTATAAGATTACAGTATAGCACAGTACATTACACTTAACTGCTGCACTAACAATTTCATTCTGATTCCATGTTATGTCTTCAAAAGCTGTGAAGGTGAGTGTACCCTGAGAGCTTCAGGAGGCCAGCACAAGACCTCACCTATCAACAACTCCCTAGGAGCTGGACACCTGTTCCTCTACATTCAACAGTTTCTCTAGAGTATATGGAAGGAACCTATTGAAAACAGCCTTGCAAGATATATTTTCTTCTTCATCATTGTTGAGGGTTAGGTGTCCTTTTTTTTTGTTTTGTTTTGTTTTTTGTGTTCTGGCCTGCCCGTGGAATTTTTACCCATTATGTGCTTGGACAACCTAACTACCGGTACTTAGGGGTGCTCGACAAAGGACAAAGAGTGGCCGGGCCGGGGGGGGGGCGTTGGGAAGGGGGCAGAAAAGAAGGGTGGGGACAGTTTTTGGGCTGTCTTTTTTTCTGCTTCGGGGAAGGACGTTCATTTGCTGGGTCGCGGAGCTGCTGCAGTAGAGAGAAGAGAATTTCGCCATCACCCAGACGGAGCTGCTGCTTCTTCTCCTTCTCCCCTCTTAGTTGGTGGCCTCGCACCCCCTGCCCTGCCGGGACGTGTGGCAGTGCCAGGCACCGCCGTGGAGCTGCTGATACACCTTAGCCACCAGCCCAGGATCTCAGCTCGTCCCTGCTGTTTCCAGCCGACTGTTCCTCGGAGCCCTGCAGGAGCACCGGGACTGCCCGCCCGAGGGGGTTTGTGAAACAAAGCCTCTCCTTCATCCCATCTCAGCCGAGAAGGCTGTCCCGGGGTCCCTGGTTCTGTGTTCTTGTTATTGCTGTAGTTATTGTTTGTTTGTTTGCCTGGTTATACTAGTAAAGAACTGTTATTCCTATCCCCAGATCTCTGCCTGAAAGCCCCTTGATTTCAAATTTATAATAATTCGGAGGGAGGGGGTCTACATTTTTTCATCCCAAGGGAGGCTCCTGCTCTCCCTAGCAGACACCTGTCTTCTAGAACCAAGACAATCATCATTGATTATCTTTACTCAAAGCACATTAATGTATGTTTACCCAAAAGGGACATGCATAGTTGCCTTCCTCCAAAATTAGAAGTAATGAAAATTTTACTCCAGGATTCAGGTGCAATTACAGTAGTATAGAATGATGGTAGGATGACTCCTGACATACACATTTGTAAGAAGTGGTCCGGTAAGCACTCCTTACAAACTCTGATTACTAAGTAAAGTGAGAATGAGGATGATCCTACAGAAAGAACATTCCACTTTCACAAATCTTCTCATGAACAAAAGTGAAGCAGGCAGAACTCCAACCAAAAGCACCAAAAGGACAGTCGTCTAATCAGAATCAAGACACCTCATTCCCTTTTACTAGAGATTGTTTTAGTAATTGCTATCCTCTTCCTTCTGGGATAAAAAGATTCCTTATTTGAAACTATTTATTAAAATTTTTGATAATTTCTATTCTGACTATTGAAACTCAGAAGTTTAGAAGTGCTGTGTTAGGGACCAGCACTGGACAGTATCTGGACCAATCTGGTACACTTGGAAGCAGAGCCCAAGGGTAGAATAGAAAGAAATACTTCCAATATCTCCAATCCTTCCAATTAAAATGAAAATTCGAGTAAAACTATCTTGTCTACAAAGAACAGACAAAATTATTTAAATGTTTGCTCTATCAATTTAAGGGCACAAGTTAAACACCACTTAGACATCAGTTTTTAAAAGAAGTAGAAGGAAGAGGGCAAGCAGTAACAATTTCCCCTTTATAAACAAAGGTCTTGTGTGAAGTGCAGGTATTTTTGTCAGATTGACCTTAGCTATGCGATACCTTAAAGTCTAATTCCTTCAAGACATAATTTAAAATGTTAGTAAAATGCTTGCTTCCTCCTTACAGGAAAGAATCTTTCCACATGATGGCAAAGTGATGCCCAGTAAAGCTCCTCCTCCTGACCAGGACATCTCTAAGATACGATAAAAATCCATTCTCTAGTTCTGAGTGCCGCTGACAGTCTACACTGTAGAAATAAAGATGGGAAAAATGTGTGTTAATGTCTTCACAGATGACTCAATCTGGAAGAATGGGTGTGAGGGTCATTACAAACATCAAGGTGCCCAAATTTGTTGCAGAGCCAAGCAAAGCTTGAACTTATGAACTTTGGGGAAAAATGCAAAGGCTTAATAGACTTATGAATATTAGCTTCTCCACCTAGGATGGGCTTACAGCTAATTTTAATGGTCATACAATGTGTGATGGGGGCAGGGGAGTATACATGTTCAAGGGGGAATATTTAGTAGGCAGTTTGGGAAGTCTTTACCTTCCTAGCACCTCAACCCAATGGGGAAAGGAGGGCAACATGCAGCTGGGAGTTTAGGATAAAAGGAGGCTGCATCCTCCAAAAATGCAAGCGACCCCATAGGGGCATGGCCCAGTGGACTCTCTCCCTTCATTTGAATAAAGTTGTATGACTCCTCTGTCTCCTTTATGGACACTGGCTTTTCACAGCGTGATTTTCAGCATAGCAGGGAGTCAAGCAAAGCACCCACTGGCTCACTGCAGCTGTCCACTGTGAAGGGGGGCTTTGGTCCCAGCACGGTGTTGAGAGTACGACTGCTACAGGGTCCTGTGAATGGGAGGACTGGGAAGGTTCCTTAACACAGCACAGAGCAAGCAGACCAAGAAGAGAATAATGCCTTATGACTCCCCACAGATAATCAGGCGACTTTCACTTGCCTTGGCCAAACCAGCTGTCATTTCTCAGATGACTGTCAAGACAATAGAAGGCAAAGAAGTCTCTGAGGGAAGACATCTTCAATATAGCCTGAGAAGAGAGACACTGTAGAGTGTGAGAAGGCTTTGTTACAGTAGCCTAGTTCTGGAACTAGTTTCTGGAACCTAGAAATCTAGACCTAAGACAGTTCACTGCATCATCCCATCCAAGCATATAAAGCCCTAAGCACGTATTATCACACTGACATGGTAATCCAGAATAGCTCACTTTCCTTTTCAAGTGCACCCACCTGCGCATCCATGCCAATCTGATGGCCTACTGTGAATCTCAAAATTCAGACTATAATCCTGCATTACATCAGTGAGTTTGGTATAAGCAAAACATACACACAATGTGTTAGTAAACACAAATTATAAAGGAGAGCTGTACACTCCTGTTTTTCACTTCCAATAAGCATTCTATTGCACAGTGTCCCAATATTTAATTAGTGTTGGTGTCCCAGGGCTCCTATTCTGGTAATGCCTTGCTTTCATTAATGCCAAAGCTTCCCCCTGCTGAGCATTGTGCCTTGTCCCCAAACTATCCATACCTACTTTTCTCTCATAACAGACACAAGTCACTATTGTTCTGGAAGATAGAACTACATAGAATCCCCATGAGGGATGTTACCTACTTCATCCGAGTATTCAAGATTACTCTGATCACAGAATATTTTGACAAATTATGCACACACACACACACTTTCAGCCTTCTACTATTAATTACACTCACTAAGAACTGCTGCAAGGCCCTATATAGAGGGCCATTCTCTGTAGAAACCCAGCCACTGTTAGATGGCCAAGATGGGGGAAGGGTTCAGCTGGCTATTCTCTTACCTGAGGGGCCTCCTCTTGGGAAGGGCAGAGATACTGCGAGATTTTGGCTGGGGGCTGAGAGGCTTGCTTTAGCCCCTAGCTCTCTCACTCTTGGCATCTGCCAAGGACAGCTGAGCTGCTGCTTACCACGGGAAGAATTCACTGCCACTACAGTGCCCAGCCCTGCACTGCTTCTTCCTTACTGTGAGTGAGTCTTTGCTCGTAGGAGCAGCAATTGAACTGGGAACTTATTAACACATGATCTGATTAGAAAGGACCCTCACCAGGAAAATCCAGGGCCCTTACCCTCTCCCCCTTCCTGGAGAGTGGATCTCCCTTGCTTGGAGTGGCAGCTTCTAAGGAGAAGTAAACCTGCCCCTGTGCAGCCCCACTGTTTTCTGCTGCTGCCTTGGGCTTTTGTGCTACACTGTAACCCAGCACCCCCTGTCCACACAACCCCTGCAGCCCCTGAGAAGTTTTCTGTTGCATGTTGTTTGCCACCCATGATTGTACGCTTGTTTCTGCCATCCCAGCTGCAGCTCCGAGGTTCCTGCTATAGCCCATTTCACCATCCAGCCCGCCCACCATTACCACGTGAGGGAAATGCAGCTGGGCCCGCGCCACAGCGCCCCCTGCCGGCTGTGCCCGGAACTGCACCGGAGGGGAAAGTGCCTGCGGCCCAGAGAAGGCGTCACTGGGCTTGAGCTGCTGCTCCTTCTGCTGCCCTTGTGGTTGTTTGTCTGCCTTGTTATACAGATATATTCTGGTAAAGAGCTGTTATTCCTTTTCCCATATCTTCACCTGAAAGCCCCTTAATTTCAAAGCTATAATGATTCAGAGGGAAGTGGAGCATATTTTCCATTCCAAAGGAGGTTCCCACCTTCCTTGGCAGACACCTGTCTTTCAAACCAAGACACATTCAGTTGCTGCCAAAACATAAAATGAACATTCAAAATTCATCTTATTAGCAAAATACGCTGGAAGTGAAACATGCCAGTGAAAAGTTTGGCTGCTGAATTAGCTAAGATTTTCTGAAATTCATTATAACACTTGCAGAATCAAAGGAAATAGTTTTCAAAAATACAAAAAATAACATTTTTCTCCCCTTTCCAAAACCCAGCAAATTATGAAGTTGGGTAGATTACAGTGTCCCATTTCCCCTACAACAGACATCAATAACTGCCAGGATTCTAGTGAATTCCTCATTATCCAAAGCCTGAAATGCAGAACATATACTGAAACAACCTATGGTAAAACAAATACACTCTGAAGCACAAAATCTATACAAGATGGAGTAGCAGAGCCTTGCAGGTAAAGAAATATGCACCGATGTCTTGGAGTTTGGTATCAGTTCTACTGAGGCCGCAACCTTTAACTTCAGTTAATGATTAGTTCTCTCATATGCAGAATACAAAAACATCTTTAGCCCACAAATTCTTATAAGAAAAGCAAATGGCCCAAAATGCTGCTATTTTAAATGCTTTCAGGATTCAAGCATCTAAGGTTACTGTCTTGCAAGGTAAAAGCCCCCTTTAAGCAAGCAGCTACTCTGTTGTCAAGGAGTAAGCTGTTCCAGGGAGATAAATCAACTCCAAAAAAGGTGACTCACTCAACAGTCGTGCTCAGTTGGCTTACAAAATTTGCCAATAAAGTTTGTTTTTTAACCTCCTGAGCATGCTGCTGCATTTCTCCCACGTGCCCACCTCAGGATAAAGTAGTACCTCAAACCCCTTTTAACTAAGCTTGCCAAGTGAGAACTGGGGCTCACCACCAGCCCTACCCAGAAGTCTGACTATGCATCTTCTGTAAGAACTTTGCAACCAATCCTTTCTGCAGGAGATTTACAGTCTGTTAAGAACTTCTGTCAAACATTTGGAACTAGGTGACATTGCAATTCCTGTCTGCCCAGAGAGATACAGGAAGACACATAAAAAATGGCAAACACTGAACAAGCAGGGTACAGAAAAAACATAAAACCTACTTCAGGATTATCATCCTTGCAGTGTGTCTACACCACTCGACTGAACTGAGCAGTAGCTGCAAGTCAGCCTTAGCTTACATCAAAGGATTCAAAGGTCATAACATACTGGCTTTTGAGTTTCAAAAAGTGGTGTAATAGAGGAAATCTGAAACGGTTTAAGCTGATGACAAAGGCTGAAGCTTTCTATTTTCTCTGAATTCCCCTACATTGCATGGCATGAGGGATGGATTTCGGGAGTATTATATCCAAGGAAAAAAACTAAAAAGTGGTTGAGTAAAAGCAGACAACTAATACATCAAGTGCATCTTCTGCTTGACTGCTCAGCAAAGCACAGATGAGAGAGGAGACACTTCTTGGTTTGTAAAAGCACAGCCACAGAGTTTTGCATCCTGATTCACTGATTTCATTGAATGATCTTATGTATCCAAATCTGGAAACCAGGTTTAGCTAGAGCACTGGAAAGAATCAAGTTATAAGGATTATATAAGGCATACACAGAACCAAAAAAAAAAAAACTGATTTAAAACTTGTTTACAGCTTACTGCTTGTAGTAAACCATTTGCACCTTATGGCTAAATTTTCCCTTAAACAAGCTGTTTCAATTTGTTTAACTAAAGAAGAAAGTATGAACTAAAGGAGAAACCGCAGTTAAGCAATGGCTGTTACAGAGGCAGGGAAGATGGGTTTTTTATGCCAATTTCTCTTCTGCACCACTGTGGAGGCCAGTAAACCAGCTGGGAATAAGCTTACTACACTCCCCTGGAGGGACAACCCTAAAGCAACAATCCCCGTGGTCATGGAAGAACCATGAAGCCTCCCCCAGAATGCAGTGTTGCTGTATGTTAATTTTATGTATCCCATTGGCCCTTCCCCTTTGTTCTAACCCTGTGCTCTCATTCATTCTGATGTTCTGCCTAACCCCTCACTATCCCTATATAAAGCCCTGCTCTCTCTGCCTGAGGATTTCTTCGTACCTTGACCCCTTTCACAGTAGGAGCTCAATAAAGACCTTCTGTGGAACCCCATACGAAGACTCTGTCCCTTCCTTCTGCGTCGCTTGTGGCTGAAATCACCCAAGAACTGAAATCACTCAGCAGGAGCAAGACGTGCCTGTGCACCCAGGACATCTTTTTAAAGATGCTTCTCTGGGAAGGTCACAGCAGTCTACCACCTCCACCCGCCATGACACACCACAAGCCACCACCACGCAGCTGCAAAACTCTGAACTTGGAACCTTTGTTCCGAAAATTTTTCCAGGCACATCCAGACACAGACACTCAAATCCCCTGTTTGACACTGCCAGACTTCAGAACCTTCTAGAAAGAAGACTGTGTATACCCAGAATTCCTCCCAGACGAAGCACTGGAGTGTTTACTGGAAGAATCAGGGTTATAAACCCCCCAGATTTTGATGCCTATTCATGCTTCCATTTCCAATGGACTCGGACGGCATATTGCGACCACGGACTGTGACAATTCCCCCCGGCCACATCACTGAAGCCATGGGTGATGACAGATCTCTCTTTTTCTCTGTTTTTCTCTTTCAAATTTTCCTCTCTTAGGGTGATCATACACTTCAGAATGGCTACAATACCCCTTCTCAGATCCATTTTCTACTTAAGGTTTCAAAGCAGCTCGCATAAAATTTGTTGTTATATCAGTTACTTACTGTTGTTTCACTTTAATCCACCCCCAGGGATCCCTTTAACAACAAACTTGGCTGCCTTGCCTCAGAGGTGGGTCACAGCATTATCTTAAACAGTATTTCTAGATAGTTTTCACTACATAAGCAACACATGAATTTGGCTATTTTATATAGTTGAGAATATATCACATATATTATGCATACAATATTTATACATAATATAGAATATCTACAAAATACATATTTGAGAAAATACCAACCTTCAGCTTGTGAAGCTGGTGATCGTGCCCACTTCTTGATGCAATTCAGGTGGAATACATGGTAACAATTCTGACAGCTCCACACTGGCGCTACTATTCGGACCACCTCACAGCATACCATGCACTCATACTTCTCAGTGGTCAGCTGTTCAATCAACGACCCTGCAAAAAAAATATATTACTCACGTATAAAAGAACAGCTAGCTGAGAAATGAAACTCAGATTAAATTCCAAGATTTCATTTAAATTACAGCAAAACTTATTTTACCTCTGTGGCTATAAATAAGGTATTAGTTTATACCTGGAAGATTCCAGTTTGATACTTTTTTTTTTGATATGCATTTTTTTAGCCTCGGAGCAGGAAGAAGGAGTATAAGATTCCTACTGAAGTGGCAATGCAAATTCCACTTTGACAAGTAGCAGTTACTCTGATCTTATGAATTAATAGTTTTAACACTGGCAGAAGTTTGAGATTTTACTCATCACTTTATATGGGAAATTCATCTTTGCATGCACTTTAAACCAAAAAGATGAAAGCCCTTAAATACAGAAATCTCTGCCAAAATTACATTTAATTTCCATCCTTAAGTATTCCCAGGAGATGACATAACAAATATTAACAGCAAAGGACCTGGATTATGGGAATAAGCCCTTCATAAAGTGAGTGCTTTAGGAGTGGCATTACTGGGAACAACAGTCAAAGGACAGGGTCTTTTGAGCCATATTAACGAATATGAAAAAGTACTTGGAAAATAAAGCAAGAACCCCACATTAAAGTCACAACAGCCTGATGTGCAACCATAAGAAAGGCACCACATAAAGCTTAGTTTCTGTCAGATTAATTCTCACCTATCAAGGTAAGACTATCAAATGTGCATTAGAAATATCCACAGGATTTTGAAATATATTAACTACAAGTGTACAGTGTAAAACTGTACCATTTTAAGATGGTGCCAATACAAGTGTCAGAGACTGAAATGTTATGGTTTATGGCTTAAACATTTTCATGAAGGACTTTTGCCTATTATACCAAATTGCATAACAAAAACTGCATGGAAGACCACTGCACCCTGAATGGGGTCTCTGGGCTGAGGCCCTCAACTGTGAGTTAAACTGCCTAAGGGACAGAGATAAGAAAAGTAACACTGCTGTTCAAAGCAGCTGGGAAATGATGGTGAAGACTGGAACAGCAAGCATCCATGGCAGGGATGTCCAGAAGTTTTGGTGTGGAGGGTCTAGCCCCAGGTTTATCTGCTACCAGACTTGCACAGATCCCGACACCAAACAGGAGCAGGAGAGGTTCTGGATGTGCAGCATAGCCTCTAGTCCGAGGTAGTGAACACCCATCCACTGCTGTGCAGCCTTGCCCAACTGCAGGGCCCCCATCCCAGGAAAGACACATCTACCAGACATCCATGAGACTGAAAGCAGAAGGGATGCCATGGCCCATCAAAGGCCCACTCCAAGGGGTCCCCAGACCCTGAATCAGAGAGCACTGCATGTGATGCAACATGATGCAACGGATCCACAGTTTTGCAGGTGACAGTGTCAAACCTGGCCCTCTCAGGGGAGGCACCTGGGCATTCTCACCTGGCCCATGATTAATCCACTGGATTCTATACATTTCAGCAGGGGACCCTCACCACCAGGACCAGAGGGAGGGGAATAACAAGATGTCACTGGAACCCATGGAGGGGTGATATGTTCCTACCTAGTCTTTCTCTGTCACTCTCACTGTTCTCTCCTCCTGGCCCCCTTCTTTTATTTGTTTACTTCTTTTCTCTTTCTTTCTCTTTGCCTCTTTTCCTATTAAGTAAAATATGTATTTTTTTTTTTATATCTAACCTCATTTGTGTTTTAATCTCGTTTTTGGGAATATTCAAACCCAAGTACATTCAGCTTTATTCACAGAGAGTGCTCTTTGCTCCTCTGTGATTAGACCAGATAACAACAAGGAAAGTTCAAATTCATAATGAAGGAAATACCAAAAAAAAATAAAAAAATAAAAAAAAATAGAAAACAATTACTGTCAATTAAAAATCTGCTTGTACCACATGTGACTGCAAGCAAGCCCATGGCTTGCAAGTGTTAACACTGTGCCCTCAATACAATTTTCAAGTTTCTAGCCTTCCTGCATGAAGCCTCACAACATTTAGGACTAATAGTCATTTCTATTTGTTATCCCATAATTATTATCTGCTGTAAAGGAAGATCCTCATATAACACCTCTTTTCTCCAGAAGACTAAACCTATAACATGCTCAGAAACTGTAGGTGTCCCAGAAATAGTTAAAAACCCACAATCCTAGTTCCCTGAAAACAGTGGCAGACAGTGTTTCCAAAAGAGCTCCCAAATAAAGCACACAAATAAAGTACTATTTTGGTGGGAGAAGTTCCTCAAGTTCCCTGGGAAAGACTATTACTTATCTTCCTGATTATTGCATGTGATGTTTTCCATTTAACAATAATGCTGGGAAAAAGACTGATGTATCTTCAATTTTATGATTCAAATAGAACCCAGGAGCAGGATATTTAATTTATTTAGGTTAGAGAAGATCAAGGAAAATCTTGATCCTCCTAAGAGAAGAAAATTTCCAACTACACGTATCTTATGCTTCCTGATTATGCTATTACTTTCTCAGCTGTGAAATAGGACATACTAAGAAGGAAAGTCTAAAATAGATTTGATATCACAGTTAAGATAATTGGAACTAGTCTACCCATCTCTATCATTCTGTGCTGCAGAAGATAAGGTTGATATGCTTTGTAAAAAACCAAATAAATAAAATTCTTGGTGTTTCTCTTTATTGCTTCTGAACATTTAAGCCTCTTAACACTTAGTGCTTAAGCTTATGCAAAACAGTAAGAATAAGCTACCTAAGTTGTTGAAACAGAAACCAGTATGATAGCACTGAAGAGATTCAGCTGATTTCCATTTAATGTTTTCAGTCACTAATGGTATGTGTCAGCATAGAATTCATTCAGACAGCCAAAAATTGGGTCTGGTTTACACTGTCAACAGCATATGTTTCTATTCTCAAACTTCCAAAAATAGTATCCAGATACTGCCTCTATTTCTAATTACCTTTTGAGGTGGCAGCTAATGTTTTTTGTCTTTTTTATATATTCTCTGTATTCTTCACACACATATTTGGAGCTCTGTAGCCTATTATTGCATTCATAGCTAGTTTCCCCAGGACTTTTCCCTGCCCTGACAGGCAGAAAGACAAAACACATTCCAAGACCCCTATGCTATATCCTGGTTTTCCTTAGAAACAAAGCTTGAAAAACAGCTCTTCGAGATACATTTTCATCAACAAGGATCAGTTCCATCTGAAGGGGAAGGATTTAGAAGGGGCTTGAACTAGGAGTGAATTGCATCACCACTTGTGCTCCTAATTGGTGATTTTTGTTGATTGTGCTAATTTAGTAAACTTATAAAACTGTATGCACCCCTGGGGGTGGCTTTTGTGGCATTTTCTATATTTGCCCCTGGAGGCCTCCAGTAAAGACCAGCTTTTATATTACCTCCTATACTAATAATATCGCAGAAGCATGTATTGTTTCATTTACAGGTTCTCTAAGGCATCAAAGGTGCAGAAAAAAAGCACCTAAAATTCAGTTATGAGTAGAATACTGTTTCTCTGTCTGGCATTCTCCTACTTTTACATAAAACATGAGAAGACCTATTCTGCAAGTCAGTTTCAGCACAACCCTTCTCAAGCCCCATTGTTTAGAATGCTCAGAATTTTACTCCCACAACATACACATTTTAATATGGTACCTGACTAGGTCATCATTTGCAGTTTGGTATCAAAATAGAAAAAACTTTAAACAAAATCTGTCCTTCTCTAGTAAACTTACGGTATTTGTTCCCACCAAGAAACCATACATTTACATTTAATTCTACCCTCTGAAACCAATACCAATTTAATGTGAAATAATAAGCCTCTTCAGGTACTCAAGGCAGGAGCTGAAGCAAAGACTCTTTAAATTATTCAAGATCATATCTTTCATATAGGAATCCAGGACAGTCTCAAAAACTTACCAGTATGAGTTTCTTTGTTTTTTGGTACGTCACTTTGCTTTTTCCAGTACTGGGTCCAGCTGAAATGAAGTGAAGGTACTTGATCCCCCTTTAGCAGAAACTTTCTTCCATTGAACCTGAGAGACTCAGACAACTGATGTCTGGTTTCACTGGCCACGTTTTCATCATTTTTGTGAGCAACAAATTCTTTCTTCCTTTCATTTTTATCTTTTGGAGTATATGCAACAGAAGACTTCTTACCTACTTTTGTATTTTTACTATGGTGAGAATCATGTCTTTTCTGAGAGTCCTTCTCTACTGGGGGCTTATTCCACACAGGCTTCCGGGGATATCTTTTGTTTACATTATTGTAACCTTTTTGCTCATCCCCACTTCCAAAAGGTGCATCACAGAATGCCTTTCCAACAGATGATTCTGAAGAGTCGGACTGTGTCAAATCCAAAGATGGAAAATTTTCAAACAGCTCTGCTTTCTGTTTAGAGCTCACTCGCTTTTCACGGTCATGTATCTGCTTTCCCTTTTCCCTGAAACCTCTGCCAGATGTATGCATCAGATGTGTCTTCTTTGGCTTTGCCCCTCTGCTATCTGCATTAGGTACCTCCCTGTCGCTCTCTGAGGAGAGAAAATCACTGTATCCTCTAGGAGGTGCTCTTCTACCAGGTACTAGTGCAGCATCTGAAATTCCCGGACCTGCGGAAGTATCAGTAGTACTTTGCCTTATCTTATTTCTAGCACATGTGCTATCATTTCTTAATCTGTGCAATCTCTGGCTTTGCAAACTGCGATTCTTCAAACTTTTACTGTTACCAAAATATTGGTGGAAGTCTTCAGAATTCCCATATTGAGTTTCTGGATTACAAAAGCCACGATGCTTTGTGGAAGAGCTTTCATAATCTGTACCTCTTTCAGAAGATAGATTAGGAATTTGTATATTACTTCTACTCTGATTACTGTTAGAGTCTTTTCTATCTTTATTTACCCAGTTTATATCTGTAGGTTGTCTTTCTCCAGGAATGGAATCAGCAGCATCAGTACTAAAATTCAATGTACCTAAAAAATAGATTAAAAAAATACAAATTCATGAAACTTAAGCAGTAAATACTTCTTTTCAACCAAATTACCATCCATGCAGAGGTCCAGAAGTTCAATGAATCCCACACTTGACAGAACAACTGCAAACAAGTGTCCAGAAACTAGAACCGAATCATACAGTGTTTTGTAGAAGCCTTCTTGTCCTGTCATCTTTACGGAAGGACTGTGATGACCCAGAGTTAAGAATATCAAAATAAAAGGTGAAGGAAAACTTTTGAAGCAGTACAAGATATGCAAGTGTGATTATGAGTGTTTAATATCTAAAGTTTTTCCTAGCATGTTTACATACATACAAGGACCTGAAAAAAAGGGGTCCTTTAAATAGAGTGTCTACATCTGAGATTTGAATATTATACAAAACTTTGAATATAAACTAAAAGTATCAGTAGCAAATACTTGCATTAATGCTGATTACACTGTTCTACAAACAGACATATTAAATGGCACAGGGCAGCAGTGTAAAATTATTTTTTCTGAGGCTATCAACATGAACCATGCTTCTACTTCAGAGGTCTTCTGTAATTTCAATGTCTCTAGATAAATGAAAGAGAATTTCCTGTAACATTGTGACAGTAGTTCCTGCCAGAAACAGAAATTAGGTGAGTATCGGGGATAGTTTAATTGGCTGTGGCATATTGATTAAATCTTACACAGTAATGTAAAAAAAAGTGGCTTATAAAATCATATGTAGGTAGTGCCCATTCTACTGGTTGGGTAGGTTACCCCACCTGCAGGGCAGAGTGCAGTTTATTCCAATTCAAAAAAAATAATCAAGCACTTAGGCCACAACTTAGGCCAAGAGACTCTCTGAAAGGCTAATGCAATCTAGGTTCCTGAACTACCTACTGTTTTTTCCAATAAATATTGTGGAAATTAACATTTTGAAGGGAAGAATAAACCAGAACAGTTCAAGGCACTAATATACTCTTTTTTTTTTTTTTTATTTTCAGTGAATTTGATTTGCTTTCAAGTGAAAGAAGTTTATCTTAAAACTCTAGGAATGGTCACAGCTGCAATGTGAAAGCTGGCAGCCAAAGGAAAAAATACAACATATGGGGTTTTTTAAGCTGAAATACTAACCTGATTTTGAGAGAACAGAATGAGAAGACCAGACAGAAGTCTGGTCTTCAAAAGAGCTCAAGACTGATTTAAGAATCAATCTTAACTCAGGCAAAAGAGAAGTAGAGATGCAGGTGCTGAACTCTTCTTCTTGGTACCCAGTGCCAGCACATGTGGGAATGGTTCAAAGCTGTGACCCCCAGGGGGTGGGGACTAGGAGCAGGGAGGTGTTCAGACTTGACATGAGGGGACACTTCATTGCCAAGAGTATGCTCAAAACCTTTAACAGGCCTTCCAGAAGGGTGGTCAATACCCTCTATCTGCCAGTCTCCAAGAGGCAACTGGACACTCTTGATATGCTTCACCTTTTGGTCAGCCCTGAAGTCGTCAGGTCTGGATTCAATGACCATTGCAGGTCCCTTCCAGTTGAACTACTCTTTCATTAGGACTGCAGACCCTAGTAGGTACCAACATTACGCTTATAAATCTGAGAGAACCTGGACTGCAAGCATCTTCCCTAGAAACATTCTATTTTTCTCAGCATATGTATCCTGTGCAAAAAATTGACAATATTGTTGTTTTAAAGTCTATTTTATTTTCTACAGCTACTCTTACTTTCAGTTTCCCCAGGGTTTTGCCAGTTTCTTTTTTATCACTAAAAAAGAGCAGTACAATTATAAAGTATGGTTCTTTTACACTCATTCAGTATAGACTACTTAAGTTTCACACATTTTGATTTGAAAACAGAATGCAATCTTGTAATTGCAGAATGCAATCCTATGATTACATGCAAAGCTTATTTGAAACAACACATTTTATTAGCTGTTTAAAGTTTTCTTTTGTATACTCTAAAATTTAAAGTCTGATGTATAGCTAAAGATTAATGAAAACAGGTTTTGCAAAACCCACACAGCTTGCCTCTAAAAAGCATATTCTATTTTTAAAGACCACTCTTTTCTTTGATTATGAGATGTGGTATATAAAACGAATGAAGGAATTACAGTCAGATTGACCTTTGGGCATGGCCTCCAAGAAATCTAACCAGGATTTGAAATGTAACTGTTGAAGTAATATTTTCAATGCACTTTTCAAATAATCTATTAAGTCTGCAGAAAAAATATAAACTGGGATTCAGATATTTATTCCAAAATATTAATAATTCATTAGCACTTTTTACATCAATAACATGCCTATTCTTGCTGTCAGCTTCTACATAATGAAGAAAATTCCAGAGTGGTAAATTCTACTAAAACTGATTTCTGCCAAGACAAGAAACTGCAAAATAAATGTACAAATGTAATAATTAAGTAGCTATCACTGGATGAAATTGTCTCTGACATGTTTACACATCCATAAACAAAAATTCAAAGTAAAAGGGATGCCCCAAAGCTAAAGTCCAGCCTGTATTTTTATAAAATAAACACAGGATAACACAGTACCTTTGGAAAAAGCTTCTATATTGTCTCACCTCTGTGTTTGGAAACATCATGGAACAGATCCTCCTACAAGTTATGCTAAGGTACATGCAGGACAGGAGGTGATCTGTCAGCACAGCTTCACCAAGGACAAGTCCCACCCAACCAACCTAATGGCCTTCTATGATGGAGTGACTAAATAAGTGGACAAGGGAAGGGCTACAGGTATTATTTATCTGGACTTCGGTGAGGACTTTAATATGGTCTTCCCCAAGATCCTGCTCTCTCTGAGAGATGGGTGGACTATTAGGTAGACAAGAAATTGGCTGGAAAGTCACATCCAGAGAGTAGTGGTCAACAGCTCAGAGTCCTGATGGACATCCATGACAAGTGGTGTCCCTCAGGGTTCTGTATTGCAACCATTGTTGTTTAATACCTTCAGTAATTATACATAGTGGAAGAGATACATTGTACCCCTGGAAAACTTGCGGATGCTACCAAACTGAGCAGCGCAACTGACACACCTAAAGGATGGGATGCCATCCTGAGGGATCTGGACAAGCTCAAGAAGAGGCCCACAGCAATCTCATGAGGTTCAACAAGACCAAGGGCAAAGCACTGCACCTGGGTCAGGGCAACCCTCAGTATCAATAAAGGCTGGTGAATGAACAGATCAAGAATGGCCCTGCTGAATGAGAGGCAGACAAGACCTGACAACACGTATTCACAGCCCCAAAGTCCAACTTTATCCTGGGCTGCATCAAAAGAAATGTGGCCAGCAGGTCAAATGAGTTGATTCATGCCCTCTACTCTGCTCTGAGTACTCTGCACCTGGAGCACTGCATCCAGCTATGGGTCCCTAGCACATGAATGACATCAACTAGTTGAATTGAAGGAGGTGTGGAGGAGGCCACCAAGATGGCTGGAAGGATGAAGCATATCTCCTGTGAGGAAAGGCTAAGAGACTTGGATTTGTTCAACCTGGAGAAGAGGCTCCAAGGTGACCTAACAGCAACTTTCAAGTGCCTGAAGGGAGCCCACAAGAAAAATGGATAGTGACTTTTTACAAAGGCATGTAGTGACAGGACAAGGGGGTCTGGCTTCAAACTGGGAGAGGAGAGATTTAGGTTAGATATGAAGAACAAAATCTTTACTGTGACAGTGGTAAGGCACTGGAACAGGTTGCCCAAGGCAGTGTTCACATCCCTGGAAGTGTTCAAGGCCACACAGGATAGGGCTCTGAACAAGCGGGTGTAGTGGAAGATGTCCCTACCCTTCAGAGGGGAGTTTAAACTAGATGACTTTTTAGATCCCTTCTAGCCCAAGCCAACCTGTGGTTCTATGATTTTAAAATTCCTAGGAACTTTGGCTTGAATTAGAATGAAGCCCATGAAAACCATATGGTTTCATGCCTGTTCTGCCCTAACATTAAACCCCTTCAACATTAACTGTTGACAGAGCCAGAATGCCTGGGGTTTCAGAAAGACAATTTGATGACACATTTAAAAATATGAAGCAAATTAATAAGCACTCATCTCATTTTAACAAGTATAAGCTCATCTTCAAAAACAGAGTTTATACTTGGGAACAGCACAGCGAATAGCTTAGGTACTTTTTTTATGAATACATTAAGGATGACATTTGAAAGTGCCACTTAAAGACATTATGCCTAAGTGACATATTTTAGAACAGTTTCATGGTTTCAGGAAGATATAAATCAATTAGATTTTTAAGAACCATTAAATAATGTACTTTCATTAGTATCAAGTTGATAATGAGAAACAAATATAAGAGAGAAAAAAATATACTGACAAAGTTAATCTGAAAAAAATATAACACAGTCCACAGAACAGCCCCTTAGGCATCAGAGTTAGTACTTATTTATTCTTAAATTAATTCAGCTTTATCTCCCAGACCAGAAGAACTGATTTCCTTCTGAAGTTTCCTATCAATACAAAACTGTAATGAAACAAACAATACTGAATATTACCATTGTTTCTGAATGGACTTCAGACATCTTTTAACTGACTGCTTTTAATTAAATACCCATAAATTCAGCCAAAAATAGTGCCTTGCACTGTGTGCAAAAATAGTTTCTTTAGTGCTGTGTGTTTGGCTCCACAATGCAAAAGGATATAAAAATATCAGGTGTCCAAAAGAGGACAACAAAGATGGTATAAGGACTAAATTACATGAGGAGGAGCTGAAAATACTAGCTTTGTTGAGCTTGGAGGAGACTGAAGGGTGACCTTATTGCTGCCTACAGTTTTCTCATGAGGGGAAGGGGAGAGGCAGTTGCTGATTTCTTCTCCCCAGTGGCCAGTGATAGGATGTGAAGGAAAGCTTAAAGCTTGGTCACAGAGAGGTCAGATTGGATAATATCAGGAAAAAACTTTAATTAAAGGGTGCTCAAGTACTGGAAAAAGCTTTACAGGAAAGTGGTCATGACCCCAAACTTTTCAGTATTCAAGAACTGTTTTAATAATGCACTTAGATATCTGTTTAATTTTTAGATTGCCCTGTGTGATGTCAAGCATTTGACTCAATGAATTTTGTGAGTCCCCTTCCAATCAGAATATTCTGTTAATAGTTGTTCTATTTATATACTGTCTTTCACCTGTAAGAGAAAGATAATTTCAGGATGGATGTCTTTAGTTTTAAAGCAATTCAAATAACCTATTCTTTCACCTAAAGATAGATGACAGTAGAATGTGCACACAACAATCTATTTGTGTCAGCATTACATATACCCAGACAAGAGATGACTCAGTCAACTGCACACGAAGCACAAGTTTCATGGAAGACACTCCCTGCAGCTCTTAAAATGCCTCTACTAAACAGTACAACAATCCAAAAAAACAAAAGCAAAACCCCAAAAACAAGCAGAAAAAACAAACACAAAATGAATTTTGCATTATGGAAATCTGACACTTTCCCCATAGCACTGGAAACTTTAAACCAGACTACCAAGTTTATATTTTTTGTCTTCTCTTATCACTTTATACATTCACCTACAGCATCTCATTTTCAAGATCACACAGATTCAAGATCAAAATGTTGAATTTCTTCCTAAGCAGGAGTTATATTGTTTCAGGTTTAATGACGCAAGCAGTGCAACCCATTTCCAGGCAAAACAATCTGCATGCCCAAAACTCATAATTTATTTCAACTCACAGTATTAGATCATGTCATAAAAGATATGCTCCCTTCCTACAACTCTTGATGGAAATTATTAGAGACTAACATGCAAAATCAGCTTAAGCACAGAATTACAGAATGTCTCATTTTGAGACTTCTATAAATCATCTAGTCCAAAAATCCTGCCCAAAATAGGTCAGTTGCCCATAACTGTAACCACTGGGATTTTGAGTATCTCCAAGAACAGAGAGGCCATAACCTCTCTGAGCAACCTATTCCAGTGTTATTACCATTCTCACAGTAAGAAGGCTTTTTCTTGTGTTCAGCTGGAATTTTGTGTGGTTTGTACCTGTGACGTCTTTAATTTAATGCCACTAAGAAGAATCTGGTTCTATATTCCTTATTCCCACCCTTTCAGATTTTGTACACAGCACTAAGATCACTCTGAGATCTCTTAAGACTACACAGTTCCAGCTGTCTCTACCTCTCCTCATGTGAGGGATGCTCCAATTCCTTAAACATCTTAATGACCCTTTGCTGGACTCACTCCAGGGGTGGCCTCATCTCACCTTTTCTGCAAAGCTATTTTCCAGCTAGTTAGTCCCCTGTGTATATTGGTGCACAGTGTGGTGTTATTGTCTTTTTATGCTATTGTCCAGTTTCACGTCCAATTCAGTGCATCCACACTTCAAATGGAACTTTAAAAGTTTTAGCCAGCCCATTTCAAGAGGATATGGGGAGAGAATTTGAAAGTAGGATTTTGTCATAAGTAGTTTTACTATCCTAACAAAAGGACCTACTACAGAATGGATTTTACATATGTAAAACAAATACATTTAAAGTTTTCACTTTTCTCTTCCCCCTTACAGTGGGCTACTCAATGCTTTATAGCAATTCCCTGATTATCTTCAGCTTAATGATGCATTGTACAATGTATAACACCCAGCTGTCCTTATGATGGCAAAAAAAATGAAACTACATTCAACAGCAATTACAGCAACTGATGGGAAAAAATCCATCAACAGCTATTAAATACAATACACTCATCCCTTCTAGGTGCACAGGGACCTAAACTAGAGAGAAGCATCAATGTGAACAATTATTACACAATTGCCTTGCTGCTTATATTCTTCCTCTTTGTCTTTTATAATAATTTCCTGGGTCTCAATAATTCTTCGCTATTGACAAAATATCCTGGATGGGCAGCACATCTGCACTGACCCAAAACTGTCACTCTTTGACCCCCTGTTCTACTCTGAGAGCAGAAACATCTTTCAATTTTAAGATTTCAAAATCAGACATTTGCTCTATCCCTGAAGTTGCAATGCAAAATGCAGTTTCCACTCCAATACTGCACAGGTACAACTCAAAACTTACCTATGAGATTTTTCTTGAGAGCACAGTAAGTATTACCACAAAAAATGAACCAACCCCAGAACTTAATCCCAAGTAACAATATCTGTGTTATTTTAAGTACTATAAGGCATTCTACTGCCTTTTAATATACTTCTATTATAAGTAGAAATGGTGTCCCATCCAGACTAATCTACAGCTTTACAGTAAAGCATTTTTTAGCCCAATATACCTAAGACTCTTTATTCCAATACATATATACTATACAAAAGACATCACAATCAGAGTTGACCTGCAGACTAGCAGCATGAAAGATAGACAAAAAGAAATTTGACTGCAGCAGCTTTACTGAAGCTATGTCTCTCCTCTCGGTACCATGCCCCAGACCATTTCACTTCTGTCAAGGCAGCAGTGTGGACCCATTCTCATAGCAACAGAAAATGAACTCAACTTCTCCATCATGATAGCCAGGCTACCAAGAAAAGGGGATACTATTAAGGGCATTGGCTGTTGATAATCTGAATTAACATCAGCATGCTGCAAAAGTAGAAAATTATACTTTCTTCTACACCCAAAACACAAAAGCCCAGGATTCCCCCTGACAGAAACCAAACAACTCTATGAACAATGAAATTAGTCAGCTCATCAACTGACCTCAATGTGACATTGATTACTGGAGAAGGTCTACCTGGACCACAATAAAATTAAGCAACAAGATGGAAAAACTAAGTAAAATTAATTACTCTCAGCAACAGTACTATTTCTAGATACATACTCGTGACAAAATTACATAAGGGTTCTTCTATTGTTAAGTACCCTGAATACAGGACAAATAATTAAGAGCAAGGCTGAAATACCGATATTGAAAGGTTTCCTCCCCACTCCTCAGCAACCACAACCAATAAAACTAAAGTTAATCTGAACTCACATCATACAAGTAAGCAGGGCACAACAAAACAGAAAGTGTTTTCTTGCATGTTGCCCTCAACCCCTGTCCAGGCCGTATCCCTAAGATGCTCTTCATCCGTGAGCCCCTGCCAAGATCCCTCAGAGCAGGCAGCACCTGCTCTAAGCAGTAACCTCCTGCACGTCCAAGACTTCTACTCAGAGATCCTTCTGAGACACCTCAAAAAGCTGCTATTTTACTGCAGCCCGTGGGCCTGAGACGTTGTCACTGTCACTGCTCGATGAGGGCAGCCTGAAACCTGGGTTTCAAGGACATGGGTGGGCAGGGAGCAGACAGGCTTTCCATTAACCAAGCTCTTCTCTGTGTATTTTCTCTGGCGCTACCAGAAACCTTACATTCGTTTGTCACATACCAGGAGTAAGCACGCTCCTCCTCGGTAAAAGTTCTTCCTACGGGGCCCTGCGGCACCGGCGAGCCCGGCCATTTTGGGCGCTACAGGCGCCTCCAAGTCGCGGCGGGCAGAGGCGGGGCAGCCGCAACAGGTGGTGCCGCAGCCCACACAAGCCAGCGGTCGGCGGCGACCCCGGGCGCCACTTTCTGCCCACTAGTATCGCTGGGGAGCCGTGACTGCTCCTGCCCTTCACTGCGCCCACCCAATCCTGCGGTGCCCCTCCACAGTCCCCCTCCCCCAGCGCGGCAGCCACGCTCACCTGAGCCGGGCCGCGCCTCCGCCATGCCAGCGCCGGCCCCACTCCGCGGCCCGGCGTCCCCGCTGCCGCGCACGCGCCACCAGTTGAGCCTTCTGCCCCCGCGCGCAGCCGCACCACAGCCCCCAGCGGAAGGGCGGAGCCGAGCGCGAGGCGGGAGGGGCGGGGCCGGGGGCGGGCGCAGCGCGGGCGCGGCCCCTGAGGGCGGCGGGGAGTTGGGTGGCGTAGCGTTGCGAATCCGGGAGCGCTGCTTTTCCTGCGGCCGGAAAGAGCTGGCAGTGGGAAAACTCGTTTGGTAGTGCAAAGAGGGAAGAAAGGAAGACTGACAGCGAGAAAGAAATGCTAGCTCTGGCAATAAATTGACCTTTGGTTTGGTAATCGGCTTGCCTCCAGCATTTCAGAGCCCGGCTGAGCGGGCCAAGAGCAGGAGGGTGGGTACAGGACAGCTCGGCTCTCAGTCTCAATAAATAAAAGAGGTGCTTTCTCTAGGCACAGGGTAGAAAGCAGGGAAGGAGGTAGCAGAGACATAAAAAACGTCCACACAAGGATTCTCATACTACAGCTGGTGCTGCAGACGAATCTTGTGCTCCAGCTACAAATATCCACAGAACTGCATGATTCGTCATACTGCGGGTTTCAGCACCAGTGTTTAACTATTTTATGATTCACACCTTCCTGCAGAGGTTTGCAGTGCCATGGTTACAGTACATCTGCTGAACAGCTCAGAGGCCTTACAGAGCTGCTGATTTTTACAGAAACTGCAGAGAAAGTTCATAGTTCCATAACATCAGCAACTCTGAAGAGTGACACCTCGGGAGCGCTGCTCCGCGCAGCCGGTCTGCATTTTGACCTCCGCACCACACCCTACTGAAATTCTCCGTTCAAAGTTCCACCTGCTGCTTAGTACTACTGTTCATAGTGGTCAAAGTTCATGGCTTTAAAGTCCTTGAAGAACTTGTGGGTTATTGCAGAAACACTAGCTACTGAAATGTCCCCCAGACTCCTGCCATTGCTGCAAAGGAAGCTTGCAAACCAGTATGGCAACAGCCTTATGAACATGCTACATGGTTTGCCATGAATTTTGGGTGTATTTGAAGTGCTTTGCTGTATGTAAACACGGTGATTGCCTAAGGTTACAAAGAAAGGTATGTGTCAGCGCCATCCTTTGAGAGATGGTGTATGTGTTTTCCTGCTGCTGTCAAGAAACTTGCATTAGTCCTCTAGTTCCTATAGACTTCTCTGTCACTACTGTAAAGATGTGGCCATAATATTCACGTAGAATATCTACTACAAAATTTCAACACTGCCTTTCATAAATACCACAGCACTACAGTACACAGTGCACTTCAGTATGCACACTCTTTTTTTGTTATAACCAGGAAACCAGTCACTGCCTGGAAAGCACTAAGGAGATTTTCCTGTATTTTTCTGCTGCAGAATTGCTAATGGTTAAATCTGTACAGGTTTTCCTTTGTTCCCCCTTTTCCTTTTTTATCTAAACAGTTTGCTTTTTTTTCCCCTTTCTTGTCTTAAATTTGCATTGGGTCCATTCCAGCCATTCCTGATAGCCTAACTTAAGTGCCCAGCATTTCTCTACAAACATCTGCTCTTATTTTCTTCTTTAGTTTGGCCAAAATAGCCTTTTTATCTTTTCTTCATAATTTCTTCTTTTCACTTCAGGGATAGAGAAAAGGATCTCCCTACCGTATCATACACTCTCTCTTTAAACATATATTTTTTTTCTACTTTGTCATGCTTGAATATTTATCTTCGATCTTTTTGCCATTTATCACTCATTTCTTTGCTCAGTGGCTGCTTCTTTTCATCTGAACAGTATGACTGTCAGGATGTAGCAGGGACAGCTGCTCCATGTGGAAGATAGAACTAGTAGCTGAGTCAACAAATTCAATACCTGAGCAAGAAGAGCAAAGCCGGTTCACCAACAGGCCAGGCAACAGGCCAGGTTGGCATGCAAGCCTGTAGTGACAGGGCAGCTCAAGACAGAAGTCAAGACAGTGAGTAAAAGTCAGAGAAGTTAGGCACAAGCATACCTGCAACCATAGTTCAGGCAGAAAGAAAGAGAGCAGGGGTTTTAAAGCAGTGAGGGAAAGAACAAGGGACAGGCACCCTTTGAAGTTGGTGTGAGCTCATCCAGATAAACACTCAGGATGTTGGGAGAAGGGAGAGATGTACTTGGGGCTCTTACAGTCATCCCTCCTACATGCAGCAGGGATGACAGTAAACAGCCTTGCCTTTCAGGGGAGAGGGGGGACACAAGGCAGGGAAGCAGAAGGAAGAAAAACCCGAGCCTAGGTCTGTGTCAGTGTGCATGCTAAGGAGAACAAATCTCTAATAGAAACACACTCACTCCTGAACTGTCATCATGGTATAGTCATTTCTAAAAACCAGTCAGTTCACGGTGAGGTCAGTGACTGCTCAGTACATGCCTTGACATGAAGTCAGCAAGGTTGTCATGATGTGGAGATTCTGGTGAGGTGGATGAAATGGACTACAGCCAATAAACAACAAGTCTATATGTTCAGTATGTGTCTCCTGCACACACATAATACCCTTTTTACAAACTATTTCCTGGAGTTCCTGATTTTTAAAGAGTCTGTTCCTAGGTATTTCCAAATGCCATTAGGGTTACAATCCCTGCAGCCAAGAGCAGTAGTTAATTACAGTACTGTGTACACCTCCAGAAGGCAGGGGAGAAGTTATAAGGTGCTGCAGGCACAGTCAATTGCAGCACACAGTGATGCTCTTTCTCCTTTGTTCTTTCCTTCCTTACATAAAGCCCTTATGGACAAGCAAAAAAAAAAAAAAAAAAAAAAAAAAAAAGTCATCCACCAATATGTGCTTGCATTTTAAAAAATGACTGTTGCTGGGAACAGCTTTTTAGATGCATCCTTCCAAAAGCTAATTTTGGGCATAAAATTGAAAATAGAATCCAAACTTGTGACAGATAAAAAGTAAACCACACAAGACAGTCTAAAAGAATTTGAGGAACAACTTGCATAAGGAATTAAATCTAATAATAATCCCCTTTCAAACACTTCAGGCATTGGCTGTCTGCCCAACAGACTGCAGTACCAGGAAAATTGAAAGAAATTTGAAAGAGCATACAAAGAAAATAACAGAAAATCTAAATTAATTCTTTACATCTGTGTTCACTACAGCAGAGATGGATGAGACTCCCAAGCCAGCTCTTATTTTTTATGTGGGGACTTACTAGGGGTTATGTCTTGAAAGATTCCATATGTAACATATAGGTTATGGAACATATGGGCAAAATTAATAATAATAAATCACAAAGACCAGGCAGTATATAACCAGCAATTCTAAAAGAATTCAAGAGTGAACTACAAACTGTCTTGAAAAACCTCTAGTACAAAACTGATTTGGTAGCAGAAGGCAGCTACAGCTGACTCTTGAAGGGTGATTTTAAAAGAATGCTGTAAGAAATCTAGAAAAGTACAGTCCTGATGTCCACAGCAGGAAATTTATTGGAAACTGTAAAATAGATTAGAATTGGCAAGCATATGCATAAAGATATTATAACAGAGATGAGTCATAAGGGCTTTTATAAAGGAAAGAACTGCCTCACAATCTCACAATCCTATTGACATACTTATTAGTCCCTCACAGCTAAGGGAGATAGATCCTAGAATACTGACCATGGATTTCTGGAAGGAATTTGGAGAGGTCAGTCATCAAAAGCTCTTAAAAGTTATACTGCCAAGTAAGCAGGGGTAAATAACTGAATGAAAGACAGGAAATAAGACAGAAAATAGCCCTTTTTTTTCTGGAACCACAGGAAGAGGAGGTAATCAATAGATTACAAGGAAGTGTTTTGGAACCTGATCTGTGCAACATATTTCTCAAGGACCTGGAAATGGCACTGTCAGAGTCTTCTGACAGTGCAGTGTTATTTAGGGAAATATAGGCAATGGCAGGCTGAGAAGAACTGCAATCCAAGAAGAATCTTGGAGTACTGGATATTTGTGCAAAAAGATGGAATTTAGGGAAGCTCACTATAAAGCAGGGCTTGTGGGAAGAAACCTTTCCACCTTCACATTTAAAAGGAAGAGCCTTGAACTGTTACAAGACAGGTAGTTAGTAGTATGAAAATGCCTTACCTATGCTCAGTAGTGTAAAAATAAAGAAACTCAAATTATTAAACTTTGCTAAGATAGGAGTAAAGAATAAGTAGAGATAACACCACGACAGTGATTGATAAATGTTATACACAAACTTGGGTCCTTCTTCTCAGAGAACACAGAAACAGGGAAAGGACTTTGAGAGGTGACTTAGAATTAAAGATCATTTAGAGTCTTGGCCAGGAAGCAGTGACAGAGAGTAAAAGGTAAAAATAAAATAAGTTAAACTGCACTTAAACAACCAAACATGTTTGAAGCTGAAAACCATAATGGTAGGGTACTAATAACATGGTACTACTAACAGAATGGCCAGTTTGGTTTGAGAAATCTGAGTGTCTGTAAAAAGACAGTAGCCCAGATGGGAGTCTCAGACATGACTTTTCATATGTTGAAATTCTGTAGCCACTTCTGATTTCTGATTTTCACAAGCTGATCCTGCCTTTGCTCATGGTGTCATAGATGCTGTGTTTTTCCTGCTTATGGAAGACAGGTTCTGAAGTCCCCACATAGGTCTTTCACCCAGTCAAAAATAGGTGGCGTAGAGCAACTGTTCCTTTCTACACATTACTGAGATAACAGACCTGTCCAACACAGCTCCAAAGAGCTTGCACCTTGGTTTGAAGGCTTCAGCAAGCAGCAGCTCTGCTGTCCAAGGAGGAAGAAATAAGCAGGTCCCCCCACAGGCCTATGTAGGTGATGAAAGCTGTCTGGTATATGTTAAGAAAACTCCCCAGTCTTCCCATTTATGAGACTCTCTGGTAGTGACACTCCCAGTGGCAGAGACCTTAACTCTTAGGACTGAAGCCCATTTACAGTGAACTCCAGTGAGCTGAAGGTAGTCCCACTTGACAGACCCCACTCACATGCAGTCAGACCAGGTTCCCTTCTCAATTTATCCCAGGTTTTCCACAACA